ATGCAACTACTATTCAAATTAGTTATAAATTTATATATAATATATAAACAAATGACAAAAATTTATTAATAAAATAAATAAAAATAAAATTATTTTTGAAGAAAAAAGATAATTGATAAATTATAAATTTTTAAAGACTAAAATTTTATTTAAGAAAAAAATGGTAAATAGTTAATAATATAAAATAGAAAGCGATAAAAAAAAAATGTAAAATAATATATTAAAAAAGTAATTTCATTTTTCTTGATAAGTACCGTTTCGTTTTGCCTCACTGACAGGTCAATTAAACCTACATGTGACTCTGAGTCATCTCGGTACAGTTGTTATCCTCTCACATTGTCACAAGCTTTTAATTTTTTTATTTGTCTAAAATAATTTTTAATATATAATTAATTATTTTTCTGATAACAATCGTATTAAAATATATAAGTATAACACCATAAATATTTTTAGGATTATTTTTTAAATAAAAATTAATATTTTTATTTATTTTTATATAATTTAATTGAAATCTGATTTTAAACAAGCATCTAAATGTGTTAAATGAATCTTTTATTATAGATTTTTTTATATATACAAATACTTAAGTCCAAAAACACTTATCACTTAGATTAAATTTTAGTTGACAGTTAATATTTTTAATATTAATTAAAAATAAAAATATTTCAAATATTATACTTAAATTTTATCTTATCCTTATTTATTAAGAAACTATTCATACTACCAGTACAAGAATTTTAGTAATTCAAATAAAACTGTTTTAATTAAATTTATTTATTTAATAATAATGTGGTTACAAATATGCTCAACAGTATCTAAAATTGAAAAAAAAAAGGTTATTAACAACATCTCTAAACTATTAAAAAAGTTATGAAACATCTTTACAATATAGCTAATATTTAGCATAAAGTTTTGAAATATTTAACATATTATAAGGTGACGTTCAAAATAAATTAATCGAATAAATTATTTAACATGTTTACACCCAACTAACACGAGTACACGTTTTATTTCTTTATAATTTACATATTCAATTTGATCCGGTGGAGTTTTTTTTTAACTTTCATTTAAAATTTTGTGAAACATACACTGAGTGGTATTAGATGATTTAAAATGTATAAAAAATTAAAAAATATTTGCATTCACAATAAATATTTTTTAAAGACATAAATTTCGTCTTTTCTTAACATTTGTTCTGTCCATTCCGTTTCTAAAAAATAAATAGAAATAATTAATAATATGAATAGTTATTTATACCTGATAATTATGTCGCGCTGGATCTTGGATCTAATCTTAAACCCGTTGATAATTATCTGATAATCTTAAAATGGTTGTGTGATTTGAGTTAAAAAATGCTTAAAGAAGTGGTCTTACTAACCACAGATTTGAGATTGAGGGATTAATTTGTGCACATATGACAGGGAATATTTAGAAAAAGAAAAAGAAAAAAGAAAAGGTGAGAATGCGATGGAAGCGGTTGGCACGTAGCGGGAAGTGGGGTATGAGTAAACGGCACGTGTGGGGAAGATGAAGCATTGCATGTCATTGGAAGCCGTGAAAGCCGCCACCTATGCAAACCATCTCGTCGGCTCCATTTGCGTGCCAAACGTGTTAACATATATTAGTCCTACTCACACCCATCGTTGCTTATCACTATTTTTTTTTTTTTTTTATGGACACCATTTTAAATACAAGATATATGTGTTGTTTTTCTAGATGTTAACAATGATATTTATGAATTATATTTAGAGTTTTATTTCAATAAAATATTTTTGTTTAACGTTATTATAACTATTTAAGTGATATTTTAATTTGATTTATAAATAGTATCAATAATATTTAAGGAACGCACCTAATTTTTTAAAAAATATTTTTATTGTTAAGATTTTTCAAATGTTAATTGGTTTTAGAATATCAACGAAAAAATTAATATTATTAGATGTGTATTTCTTATGATTTTTAATTTATTTTTATTATATTTTAAATTTTGTAATTATAAAAAATAATATTTAATGTTAATTTAAAAATTATACTTATATCGCTAAAGTTGAGGTTAGTTTTAATATTAATAATTATTTCATATTATTATAATAAAACTTTAATTTTAATTTCAAATAATATATGAGATTTTTTCTATATTAATAAGTTATATTTGATGCATTAGATTATAATTAACGCATTCAACATATTTAATGCGATGTAATACTTGTACGGCTTGATCAGTAAAGTTTGGTGTCTTTTATAATTTTTTACATAAGACATTTGAATCCTCACGGATTTAGTTTTTTTTTTTTCTAACGTAGTTGGTGTTTGTTTCATTTGTATTTAATTTAATTTTGTAATATTTTTAAATGACGAACAAGAAAAAAATTAAGAGATACCAAATATTTTAACACTTTTTATTCGATGTTAGAAATAAAGATTCTTAGAACATTTTGATATTTGTATAATTCAAACAAAACTTATTTTATTTGTGGAGTATATTACTTTAGTTTTATTAATTTATGCTTCTTACAGAAAATTAATTTAGTTTTATAACTAAAACCATTATTTATAAAAAATTAAAATTATTTAATACTTTAAAAATGTTTACTTGCTTTCAGATAATTTTATAGGTATTTTAAAAATGGTTTTGTAAAAACTACCCTTATTTAATAGCAAATTGTTTAGATTTTAATTATTTTAAAAATATAAATAATTTATGATTCTCTTTATTTTTTATATTATAACACGAGATTAATAGCAGAACAGTTGCAACATACAAGGAATGTTTTGCAATGCTTAAAACATACAGAAAATTTTGTTCAGTGAAATCTACATTTGAATTAAGGGTACGAGTACCAATTTAACACAATAATTGATAATTGACTAACATTCTATTAAATGCAACTGCAAAATTAGATTAAAAATTAATGTATTTTGAAAATAGAAGAGTTTTTTTGTATATTTTTAAAACAAATTAAATTTTATGAAAATTTCAAAAGTATATAACTTTAGATTATAAACGAAAAATTTTGAAATGATTTATTCTGCATATTTTATTAATAGTTTTTTTTAACAGCAAGCTTTTGGGGGGAATGGGAAAATATCTTTCAGACGCTGTCGGTAAGTATTTTTTTATTATTAATTTTACATATAAAATAATTTTCTTAATATTAATCAAATATTGTTTATTACTTCAGAATCATTTAAAAACTACTACTTCTAAACACAGATTAATTTGTTTTCAGAAGAAGTTTACTTAATGTTAGGAATAGTGAAGTAATATAAAAACACAAAAAAAAAATCCAATTTTTTTAAAAAAGAAAAAAAGAACTACTTTTGTGATATTCCTGTAAAAGGATTGTCTCCATCAAACGAAGGGTATGAAAGCATGGGTGGGAAAAGCTTTTTCTAAAATATTTTAAATGCATCCTATTAAATGTTTACAGTTATTGTTTTTTATTTTACAATAATAGACAATTTGAACTCCCTCTGCAATACACCTTTAAGAGATGGAATAAAAAATAACGAATAATTATCTTATCTCTAATATTTTTGGGCGATAAAAAGTGCTTTTCTTTGAGAAAAGTATATAAAGTAGGAAGGGATGTATCATGTACTGATGCAACAGTACTTTGTAGTGGCCCACTGTCTTAGAACAATATTACATATCTAACTTGGACCCACAACCTAATTGTTTTTGAATGAAAATAACAGCAACTCATGCAACTCAACTGAAACCAGGTGAGGAGGACAATGCACGGAACATGCTCTGCCCCTGCCTTCAAAACACCTACTTTTCTTTAATTCTTTTTATATATTAAATTACTGTGTATCATATAAAAATCCTTTTAATTATTATTCATTCACATTTTTAGTAATTTTATATATTATTTAGGTACACAGTTAGATTAAATTTGGTTTTTTAAATATTTATATTTACTTTTAATTTATTACTCAAGCAAACATGTAATGGAAAAAAAGAAATAAAAGAAAAGGGTAGAAATGGGAAATGGGATGGCTTAGAAGGGAATCAGGGAAGAGACTCTCATATCGTATATATCTAACTTTTCTGCTGCCACGAGGACAAATTTGTCAGCGCCTGCGTCGGTCCAGAGAAATTAAGTGCTTTCCAAAAGTTATTTTTTTAATTCTTGACAAAAAAAAAATGTTTTTTAATGATTTTAAATTAAATTTCATTTATCGTTTCTAGAAATTTGAAGATTTGTTTCTTTGTACTTTTAATCGATGTTAGCAAAAGTCTTTTCATAACGTTGCCTTTTCTATTTTAAAAATAAAAAAGTAATATTAGAAGAGGCATTATAATAATAAAAAAATTGTTATAATTCGGCGGAGAATGAATGAATATTGAATGGGCAGATAAAACCGGCGAGAGGGAGAGGATTTGAAGGGGAAAACGAGAGAATTGGTGGTTCTAGGAGAATCCAACAGCCACGTAGGTACTTTGAAAAATTGGAAGCTTCTTTTCTTGCGTTTGATTAAAATATAAGCTAAGAACTTGTCAAAACAAGAGGATATCTAATTTATCTAAAAATAAAAACGACACCGGAGAATCTACCTCTCCTCCACCACTGTTCACCCACTCAGCACTCCCCAATTTCCAATCTACCAAATCCAAAACATAAACACACATGATGTTTCCTAGGTACGTGGGTCCCCCCACCGGACTCCACACCGCATTTAAATTTAGTTAATTGCCAGAAAAGAAAAAATCCTCTGTCCGCAATAATGCCCAACGGATCTCACACGCTAAAAAGGAAAATTCAGAATCACAGACTCAGCATCAATTTTTAACTTTTATTGTTATTTAATTATTTCACACTTCATTAATATTTTATTATTTGAAAAAAATAAATAAATAAGACCGAGACGTCCGTGAATGGGGTTGGTTTTCTATTTTCCGATGTGCACGCGCCTGTCACTATCTGCCATTACGAATTAAAGCAGACAAACCATATCCCACTTTTCCCACCATTATATATACCCTTAGCCCTTTCTCTTTCCTCCCACCCTATCACTTCTCTTTTTCTCTCTCTTCACTCTTTTCCTCTCTCTCTCACTTCAATTTTTTATTTTGCTAATGGAGAATTCCAACGACACCAAGAAGCGAGTGCGGGACGAGTTCACACGGGTCGACTCGCCCGAGTCTAAGATCCGCCGAGTTGATTCTGACTCGGGTTTTAACTCGTCCGACTCGGGTATTGACTCCGATGTGCACCTACAAGATGAGATTTTTAACATTCTTGATGACGCCGACAATGTGCCCGAGCGTGAATCCGTGCAGGGTCTCGACTCAGTGATTAAAAGCTTCGAAGATGAAATTAATGCTCCGCCGGGGTCGGGTCCGGGTTTGGCTGATCCGACCCAAGTACCCGATTCCGGGGAGTTACAGACTAGTCTGGGGTATCTTCTAGAAGCTTCAGACGACGAACTTGGGTTGCCGCCGACGGTGGGTTCCGGCGAGGAGCCGGGTCGGGTTGGCCCGGAAGGGGTGGACTTGACGGGGATCTTGGGGTTTGAAGATGACATTCCGAGTTATGATGCGTTCGGGTTTGGGACCGGGTTGGTGGCCGAGTGCGACGGCGGTTTCGTGACGGTGGATGGGTTGTTTGATTACGAGGAACCGGCGACGAGTGTTTTGTGGCGGTCGGAGTCGTTACAGGCGATGTAGGTGGTTGTGGTGGTGAAATTTTGTGGTGAAACGGTGCGTAGTGGTTGAAAATGTAAATCTAGGAAAATTTGGTTAATGAAATAGACGGAGAAGCACAGAAACGTAGTTGGTAGATGTGAAAAGTTTTAGGGTTAGGATTTGTTGGTTTGTTTCTTCTTTTTGTTGGATTCAATTGATGAATCATACTGGGATCTTCATGAGCCTTTTCGGTTGTTCATTTTCTTGCATGGTTGATTCCTTTATTTTTTTTAATTATTAATTGAATCTTAATATAGATATTTGTCAATGTTAAAAATCAAGGCCAAATCTTTGTCCCTCTTAGTTGAAGTTAGAGTAAAATGTTTTCTTATTAAATTGAAGAGTTTCATTAATGCACAATAAATATCTGCATTAATGAATTTCTAGTTACTTGGATTCATAAACATAAAAATGGGCAATTTTACTGATTTAATTTTAACTTCATTTTTCTTTCAAAACAAGTGAATTTTTGAATCGTCACTTGCGTTATTTACTCTTTTTGACCAAGGATTTTTTTTTCCTGATGTTGAGAGGATTAGAAAATATCAAAATTTGAATGGATACAATTTAACGGATACTTATTAATCCATAATTTTAATAAATGTAATTAGCACCAAACAGCTTGTAGAATAGATTAATTAAAAAATGCATCTATTCATTTTTAGTATTTATTTAATATTAAATATCATTATATAATTTTTTTGTTGTATATTTTTAATCACATTAAAATAATAATAACAATAAAAAGTTGAAAAGTATTTTTACATATCTTACACAGTGGTGAGGAGAAGAATCCAATGATAAAGCATCTGGATCGGCAGTCGAGGTGACTGAAGATTTTTGGTGGGATGTATCTGTCATGAACAGTGATTGTATAAAAGACGAAATATTTCGTATAACGTGCAATTCAATTTTTTTTTAATTACTAAAATCAAATGTCTTCTTAAAAGCTTATATAATTAACGTTAATATAAATATAAGGTTATATTTTTTATATCAATTGATGGAGGAAAACATGAAAATGTTTAAATAGTAATTGGAAAATCGTGCCAAAAATGTTTTTAAACCCTTTTTTAAATTTTTATTTATTATGATGCAGTTTTTGTATCATCTAAATAATTTAATATATCACACCAATTATACTTTATTAGTTAATACATAAATTTTGAGAATTAAGATTTAATAATTAAATTATCACAAAGACTAAAGGTTTATCTATTTTAAAGTTATAAAATAAATGTGTACTTTCTAATAAAAAAATACAAGTTCTAATAAAGAAAACGCTATTTAAATTAATTTAGGTGTGAATCTCAATCACATCCAACAATTCAAGATTAATTTTATTGAAATCTATTATGTTCATATATAACCAAACAAGCTCAATAAATAAATAAATAAATAATCTATTATATTTATATTTAACCAATATTATATTCTAAAATATAATAATAAAATGATTATTAAAAAATGTAATACAATGGTATTTAATATGTAAATATTCATTTTTTTTATAAAATTCATTTATTCTTTAACTCTTAAAATTGATGATGAGTAATTAATAATAATAAAATTTTATTAAAAAATTTATTTTATTTATATAGTTTTAGCGTAATAAATATAATTTCTTTTATAAAATATTTTTATTTATAAATACTTAAATTCAAGGTTAAAGTTGAGGTTAATAATTTATTTTTTTTCTATTTACTTGTCGTTTTTCCGTATGTCATATGTGACTTTTAACCTTCTATTAGACACGAAGTAAAAAAAAGGAAAAAGAGATAAAATGCAAAAAATTAATTTGCACTTAAAAATTAGTAATAAATTATTACATCTGAAAAAGTGTTTTGAATTTTCTTTCTCTATTAAACAGGCTAAAAAGTTTTAAAAAAATATAAGGAACCAACATTTTAGATTATTTAAAATTATATTTATGTGTGTCATATTTTTAAAAGGTCAAAATAATTTTTTTAAAATATATCTGTTAAGATAATTTATTCTTCAGGATTAGTTGTACTTGTGTTTTATATTACTTATATGTATAATTGATTGACTTTATAAGTATCGAATATGTTTTGATTTGTCAATTTTACAATATGAAATTGTACACATTAATTTTAAAAGATAAAACTATTTACATGTTGATTTTTATTTATATCAGTTTTGTTGGCCTAATTATTTCATTTAAATGTACTTAACACGACATATATTTGTCATTTTCCGATTAATGGTATGTTTAGAGTACAAAGTAAAGTTCACTAAAGGTTGTCAATTACGTATGTGTCGACATTGCGTGTTAGTCTCTGGTGGGTCAAATTTAATTTAGATTATCAACCAGGGTATGGTTCAGCAAAAACAATTAGTCCTCACAAAGTAGTAATTATAGTATTAATTTTTTATTAAGAGATGTTTTTACAATTAATGTCTATCATGTCATAACTAGAGGTGTGTTAAAAATAACGTATTAAAAAAAATATTATCATTCTTTACGTATAAACCGTGAGTATTCCTGTCTTTTCTTTACATAAACCTATGCATCAATGTCTTATTAAGCATCATATCATTTCTAAAGATACTTAGGAGTGGCTAATCACTGTTTAAATCCCCACTTAAGAGACATTTATGTTATCAGGGCATCAAGCTTTTTTGAGTAGGATTGTTTGTATAGAAAGTAGCTGTTTGGAAATTGAAAAAACTAAAAAAACTTCGTAATGGGTTCACTTAAAAACTGTGATCTGTTATAAGTTCTGCTTTTTAATTGTCATGTCGGTTCCTGTGTTATTTTTTTCAAAATCATAAAAGTTGCATTTGATTATTTGATTGCTCAAATCATTGTTGAGGATTTTTATCTTCACGGCCACTATGATTGAATCTTTCTTTTTATATACGAGTGGCTCGGAGTGATGCTTGAGTTCAAATGTCAAAGAGTTTTGCATGGACTAAATTAATGTGTACCGTCCCCTGCAGTACATTTGTTTTATAATTTTGCTACCTGTTTACGGCGAGAAATGATAGTTGTAAACAAATTATCCAAAGATTAATCTGTGACTGGATTTAGGTCCTCTTTGGGTTCTTCTAAGTGTGTTGTTAACGTGATGCTCAAATAAACGGCGAAAAAGAGTATTAAGCAAGAATAGGGAATAGTAATTATACAGAATTGAATAACTAACGTAGAAGTTGGTTATAGAAGAGTATAAAATAGGAAATGAATTGCAGAAACAGGAACAAAAGCAATTTAAACAAAGCAACTTGAATTGAAATGCAGGAATGGAAATGTGCAGGAATTTAAAGGTGCGTGAATGTAAACGTACGACTCTTCACAACGGCGAACAGCGGCCACCGTAGGTCTCCTTGTAGCTGGTGTCTGGCGCGGTGCAGGGTTTCAGCGTCTCAGAGTGTTTAGGTGCGGTGTTTGGGTGCAAAAAGTCGTCCTCTCTAAAATAATGCTTTGTAGTATTTATAGACATGAAGATCACCACCGTTTTCCTCCTTTTGCGGGCACTTCCTAGTAACTGCCTTTAACTGTTGATGCTCACTATCCACGATTGCTTGTGATCGTGCTGTTTGTTGGGGCTGTAACCGCTATCGCCCATGATCTCCTTTGCGTAGTGGTGAATGTTGGTAACTACTGGTAACCGCTTTTGGATTTTTTAATACTCCTATCTTTCGAGTATTTCTGAGAGAAACTTAGAAAACTCTTTTAATGTTATGGCCTTGGAATAGTTTCTTCTTGGCTTCTCTTTTCGAGCTATTCTGGAGTTTTGAGAGTCTGTCTGGGTCTTGTGGACTTAGAATATTTTCTTACCACTTCCTGCTTTTCGAGCAGTTTTGGGTGTCAGGTACTTGAAAACTCATGAAATATTCCTCGAAAAGCCATCAGTTTTTTGTGGACTTAGAATATTTTCCTGTTAGTCCTGTTTTTCGAGCAGCTTTGGGTGTCAGGACTTAAAAACTCCTCAAAACTCCTCGAAAAACCATCAGTTTTGTAGACTGGGAATATTTTCTTGCCAGTTCTATTTTTTGAGTAGTTTTTGGTGTTAGTGACTTAAAAACTCATCAAAACTTCTCGAAAAAGCCTTTAGTTTTGTGGTCTTAGAATATTTTCTTGTCTTTCAAGCAGTTTAGAAAAAAATCAACATTCTGACAAAAATCTCTTAAAATAGCTCGAAATGTGTTCCTTTTAATTAAAACCAAAGATCTTCCAATATTCTCTTATGTTCAGGTTTATCTTTGCCTCCTTCTTGACCCTCAAAACTTGTTGAAATGTAGTTTCCTTTTTAACTTAGAAAATTTTCCTTATCCCAAACACTACCATTCTTACTATAAAGTGATACAATTTGCGTAGTATAATGGTCAACACACGTTGCTTTGTTTTGATTCCTAACAATTGAAACAGAGATAGTAAGTCTAATGGATTGTGACGAAAAATTTTATGATGTCTCACTAATAATAACAATAAATATTTTAATTTAGAGAAAAGGCTTCTTGGGTATCACAGAGTATAATTGCTTGGGAAAAATGTCTTTACAAAATCTAACATGAAATTACTTGAACAATAAAATTACTAAATCTATAACTATATTCAATAGATGACTTCAACTGAAATTATTTAAGCAGTGATGTGAACAACAAAATCACTAGATTCATGACAGCAACTAATCCATTTGCTGTTTTTAAGTTAATAGCTTTGCTTCTTCCAAACCCAAATCCCATGATGCTTGGTCTTGGTGGCACTGAAAATGCTGGCGAAGCTACAAAATCAATAGAAAAAGCGAATCAATATAAAGGTTTATATTTTCCATAAACTTTGAGATTTCTCATGGTAATGCATAAGAGAATGGTCCATCAGAGTGAACAAAAGTGGCGCTTGTTTACCAACAACAGTAGAGTTGTTCTTTGTGCCCAAGGAAACTTGAGAATTTGGTGAGGTTGAAGGTGCATGAACTTGTTCCCCTATGTCAAAAATAGAAAGAAAACAACCTAGATAAGCTATTAATGTACCCAAAACTGGACTAAACAATGTAAAACTGATTGCTTTAGAAATACCAGTTAAAAAGGTAGAACAGGACACACTTTTTGAATATAATAAATAAGTCAATTATATAAAATTTCTAGATATGTTTTAAGATTAAATGTGTCGGGACCTGAACATGCTGAAACATTGACTTGAAGGATGCAAAGAGCTGGCAACTGCAGAGCAAGTGTCCTGTTGACGGGTAAAGTGCTCAAAGAAGTGTCATTGAGCAAGAGGCAAAGGCAGTGTGGCTCTTGGCTATAGAGTTGTTTGAGGTTGTCACAGCATTGTGGCCCAGGAGACCTAGCAGTACCCTGCACAAATGGTGTGCAAGGAATAAGGGGAAGGAGGCTTGATGTGCATTGGGCTATGGTGGGGTTTGAGGAGCTTGGGGCTTGTGAAAGTGTTTTGGGTAGATAGGAAATCGACAGCAATAGGATAATCTGAAACAAAATAGGGACACAAATGCAATAATTCAGAGAAGCCATTGTGTTATGTTTTCTTGTGTGGATAGGAAAATATTTACCAAGGTGTCTAAATAGGAAAGTGACCATTTTTCTGTATGACTTGTTACATGCATGGTGTATGAGTTTCAACTAACATGTACTTCTTATTTTTTTCCTAAACCAGCTCATTTAAAAGCTTATGTTAGGTAAAGATAAAAATCAAATAATTTTATATTATTTTTCTTAGAACATGTACAGAGTTATATTTTAACAGTCTATACTTCCAAGATAAAATGTTTGCATTGTTGTCGTACTAGTAACATGAGATGCATTTACCTGCTGTGTTATAATGGAACAATTATCTGTTATCTATTTGTTTTTCAAAAATAAGACCATAATTGTCAAACTGGAACCGAAACGGATCAAAATGACAGAAAAAGGGGTTTTGCCAGATCTGCTGCATAAGGTGCGTGTTTATTCCATTGAACTTTAAAGGGCTTGGTAATAAGGAAAAGAAATATTCTAATGTTTTTGAAATAACGATAAATTTCATATAGCTAGCCCAAACACACGTTTTTGTTTTATATCAAGTATTTGCAGGAAGATCACTTCATTCTAGCTGAAGTATGATCTTTATGCCTCTTTTTCAAAGAAAATATGCTCTTCCTTTGTTTATGTAGTGGCATGCACACACTATGAACAAAGCAGTCAAGAATAATGTGAGTACCTACGCTACATTGCCTTCCTTGGCATACCTTGTCACAATAGAATCGGATTCTTCAATTAAAAGGGGAATCAATGTCATCAAACAGAAATGCTAACCAGCTCATTATAAACCCTTTTTGTTTCTCAAAGTTTTGTTGTTGCATGCCTTTTAAGATTCACTTTTGTTTTACTATCTCATTCATGCTATTTTGGATGTTCAAATATCTGTGACTATCTTTATCTCTAGTCTCTCTCTCTCTGATTAATTTCATGAGTCATGACAGTGAAGGCAAGCTCTAATCACACCATCTTTTATCTCTCTAGATAGTTCAAAAGCTATACACACCATTTGAATCCTTTTTGTTTCCTTTGATTGGCAGCACTTCTGCATGGTAATGAGGATCAATATTGATTGCAATGGTTGTTACAGAAAAGTGAAGAGAGCCCTTCTTACTATGCCAGGTTAGGCATCATTGATCCGTGATAATCTTTTCTATGTAAGCTCTAGTTCTATAATGAGTCATTTTTTTCAAATACATTTACTGATTCACATAATATATACCTCAATTTTCTGTAACACACTTTTTCATCTCTTTATTGTGTCCCTTTGCTGGATCGTGTTTGAAAAGTTAATAAAATTATGTTAAATTACATTTTAAATTGAGAACTACAATATATGGAGATTACTCAATAATTATTTTTTACTTTTATTTTTTATTATGCTAGAGTTGGAGAGTCATCTGCTAGAGAAAAAGCAAACCAGGGTAGTTGTGTGTGGCAGGTTTATCCCACAGGATGTTGCAATCAGAATAAAGAAAAAGACTAATCGTAGAGTCGAAATATTGGAAATCCAAGACATGAGTGAGAGCAATACTGAAATCGAAGACGAGAAACCAGTGACCAATAATTGGACTCTTCTAGCCGCACAGAATCAAATGGAAACATGTTTGGCTTGAGAGAAACAAAAAATGTCTCATTTAATCTTACATCCATAAGTGGAGTAGTTAATTATTGTACCTTTTTTTCCCCGTTTTGATAGTAACTCGGAATATTCCCAACTAATCACAGTAATAATTGTAAAGATTAATTACTTGAGGTATTTGCATGTTTCTTGATGGTAATTTCTTTATTAACTATATATATAACTACTACTACTACTAAAATATATATTCATGTTAGACTTTATAAAATTTAAGTTATTAAAATTTACTACTAATTTATTCTTTTTTTCCTATCATTTTTTATTCCTCTTAAAGAATCTTTACAAATTACCAAAATTAATTTTATATACTTTTCCTACTTTTATATAATGTTTATCCACCAACCATGCAAATACTGACATTAAAAAATAATTTAGACAATACCATTAAAACATGAGCCCGAAAAACTTAAAAAGAAATTCAATTGCTGAATATGTGGCACAAGTAAAAATAGGCTTAATAGTTTTTTTAAAAACTAATTAACAAAATAAAGCAAATACTCTCCACATATATTAATAATTCGTTTTCAAAATTTAAAATTACTTTCCTATCATGGGTGGCCTGTCATTTTCTCACCCCGTTCCATCTCTTTCTAACGTGTGAAAGATATTTAACATCTTCATCCATTTATGATTTACCAACACGCGTGCTAATTTTATTGCTTGAGGACTTGGTCAAACTTGAGGCCCGATAGCGCAGTAACTACTCATCTATAAGAAGCTGGCAGTGGACCAATTTTTCCAACACTGCTGACAGAAAATAAGGTATAAAAGCCAATTATAACTTGAAAAATATGTGGACTCGTCACATGCTTTTCAATATATCTAATTTACAGAAATCCCATTATTTTTAAAAAATTATTTCAATAAATTTTTAATTAATTTTAGTGAATTGATACTCTCCTACAAAAAGAATCTATTTTAACAAACCTGACTTCAGGATTACGAAAACGACAAACAGAGGCAAATAGTTTTATCTCAAACCATAACACTAAAGATTGATATTTCATTTAAGAAAGCTACAACTCAGAAGAAAGAAGGGAATAACGAAATGAAGCACCCACTTCCCGTACTACGAGAGTGCCCAGAACAACAGGCCGAAAAGGCTTTACATAATGTCCCTATATATTCAACACGAGAGAAAACATATACATGCATGCATGCACTTTTTATTCTTCTATTTTATACCCTTATATGTGTATCCTCTACATTTACACAAGATAGTAGAGTACGTTACACAGTACACAGCATACATATATTTATTCAAAGTTTCAAAGACAACATATATGTATACGCATGCATCTACTTGTCATGGTGTCCTCCAGGAAGCTTCTCCTTTATCTTATCCATTATCCCTTTTTTATCATGTTGTTGCTCTCCCGATGCATCATACCCACCATGTGCATGTTCATGACCATGCTGCCCAGTGGTTCCATGACCATATCCCGCATCAGTATGCGCACCCCCAGTGTTGATTCCATAGCCGGTTCCACCGGTGGTTCCATAATCGGTGCCTCCAGTGGCTCCATAACCGGTTCCACCGGTGGTTCCAGTTCCATAAACACCGGCGGTTCCACTTCTATGACCAGTGCCAGTGTCCGCTGTGGTGGTTCCATAACCAGTTCCACCGGTAGTTCCGGTTCCATAACCACCGGTGGCTCCACTTCTATGACCAGTGCCAGTGTCGGCAGTGGTGGTTCCATAACCGGTTCCACCGGTAGTAGTACCATACTGCATACCGGTGTCACCGGTGTACCCGGCACCGGTTCCGTAGGTGGCACCACCGTGACTCACAGGGTTGCCATATTGATCAGTTTGGGTCACAGGGTTACCATACTCATCGGTTTTGCGACCTTGATCACCGTATTGGCTTTGATAACTTGCCATAGTGGAAATGGTTTTGCTTATACAAAATTATAGTGGTTGCGAAGTTGTTGGTGTGGATGGTAGAAGAAGCACTGAAGCAAGGTGTTTATATAGTGAAATGGAGCATAAAAATCTGGGAAAGGATGAAGTCGGTACATAGGTTAAGGTCTGACACGTGCCATGTGGCGGTGATGATGAAGGCCACGTGCATGGGCACGTGTTGGCTCCTTTTTTAAGTGAGAGTGTTGTGGTCGTTTTCTGATTGATGGGATGACACGTGCGAGAGTGCTTTGAGGATGGCTATGGATTTCGGTGAAGGTTGTGACTTTGGATTTTGGCCGTTCAAAGGTACAGAAAACGCACCGGCAAGGTGACACCTGTCTCTCTAAATGTCATGACAAACAAACACTACTTTCAAATAGATATTTAAAATGAGTTTACCCACCATAATTTTGAAAAAGAAAATTCAAATTTGTCAAAATAATATACAAGATAAATAAAAATTTGATTTCTTAAAATTTTTAGATGTTTGATTAAATTAGATTAAAAATTCTAAATTTAATTCAAATTCAAATTTTAAATTTTATATTTTATTAAATAAATTTGAGCTAATTCAATTCGACTAACTCGATTTAGTAGTTTTAATTGATCACTAGAATTTTTTAGACAGATATGTTATGTTTTGTAAAAAATATATTTTACATTCACTTTTTAAAAGTTTGAAAAGGAAAAAAAAGTGATAAATTATTTGATAAAAATAAAAATAATAAAATATAATTATCAAAAAATTATCTTAACATGTCAGTATAATCAATTTTAATTATGTTAGTCATTTAGAATAAATATTTATCATATAAAAATATTTTTTTAACTGACACTAATATTTAAAAATGTAGTTAGTTGAAAGTGTAAGATAACACATAATAACAAAATTTTATCTAGGTCCATTTTATGATTCCTATAGTGGTATTTTTTTTTATGGTAATATAACGGTATTAGATTATGTTTAAAAGTTTAAGATAATATTAAAATAAATTTAGTATAAGTTGTTTGTGGGCAACAATTCAATATAAATTCTATCTGATGTTATTATTATTATTAGAACAATAGTAGTTCATTTTCTAATACATTTATATTATTAATTAAACTTTATTAAAAACAAAAAAAACGTATAAACATTATTTTTATTATTATAAGTATAAACTATAACTGTCGAATCGCCCTTAACGATTACGGTGGCTAAAGATAAAAGACTTAGTTGCCATGACATTTTTTTTATCATTAGTTGGTATAACTTTGTGAGTTGATCTTATCAAAGAGAATAATTTATGGGCTTAATATTGCTATGAAGAGTATCTCATAAAGCCCGTAGCCCACAACCATTTATGGCATTGCAAGCTATTGTGAAAATATGTGACTGTAAAATGGGCTTTTCACATTAAGATTTCAATTCTTCTAATGCTTTAGACAATGTAGACTATTATTGGCTATAAAACTTTCTTTATAAATATTAATATAATTGTATTTATTAGTATTCAAATTTGAGTATACTTTGAAAAGAGTAATTGCCTTATTTGGTTTTTTAAGGAAAGGGCAAGAAATCATGTACATTTAGAATTGGGAACTTTTGCACTCACTTGGTGGGACCCTCTTTCATTATTTTTGTGTATCAAAACATAGAACCTATAACAACATAAAATAGATGTGTGTTTAAGATATTAAAATCAGTTTATCTCAAAATAAGAACAAAAACATTAATTCCCTTAATTGACTGTATGAAAAGTCAAAAAATGAAGTGTTAAAAGGTATAAGAACAATGCTGCTTTGTCAACAATTTAATGAATTAAATATATTTTTAGTCTTCACATTTTATAGTGAATTTTTAGTTCTAATCCCTTTGAATAAATATATCTTTTATTTTATTTCTTTTTTTTTTTAGTTTCTATTCCTAATTTAATTCACTAGAATGTTGTAAAATGTGAGTTTTGAGTTAGTTTAAGTCAGTTAAAAGGACTTAAAATAATATTCTCTTAAAATATATATTAAAATAAAAAAAATAAATTTAAAAGAAATAAAATCAAAATCCATTAAAATATAAAAATTAAAAATATATTTAAGCCAAATTTGATCTCCCTTCCCTTAAAAGGATTAGGCCCAGGAGACTTTTTCAATTTTTTTTCAAATTTTATACTTTAATACTATTATTTGATTACTTCCTAGTCAATAGTGGGCATTTATAGAACAGTGTAATCCAAAAGATGTTGAAACATTCATTACAAGCAAAATTTCCAAGTTTAAAACATTTGGTTTTATAGAATGCATCTTTTCCTTTCACCAAACTAAGCAATTAACTTTGTTTTGGTTCGATCCACATGTGACTCTCGCACAGATGTTTGTTTTATCTGCATAAAAAAATGGCCTAATACATGTGTACAAGCTTTTAATATTGTCATTTAATTATAGATTGTTACATAATTTATAAAATTTATTTTTCATTATTATTTTAAAAACTATACTCTCAGATATGACAGTTTATTCTTGTCTTTCTAATTTGTTATTATTCCAATATTAGAAGAGAATTGCGTTTTTATTTATCATTAAAAAATAATATAATATTACTTACTAAACTTTTAATCTTATCTAACTAGTTCATAATTACTTTTTATAGGAAAACAAAAAATGAAAAGAGTATCCAAAGTATTTTAACAAAACATTAAACTTGTATTATAAACAAATCCTTCTCATAAGTCACCAAATTTCTATACCCATAAGAGGACCTCTATAGCCTTTTAACATCACTAATTAGACATTAACATGTATTATTTTGTCTATAGTCTATTCAAGATACAGTCAAATATAGTTGCTACAATTACTTTTACTTTGGTTAAATTCAACCCCCCAATTCAATGAACGTTTTCAATGAATGCATCGTTTGGATTTATATTAATATGTATTTTTCTTAACGTTTTCCTCAACTCAAAGAGTCAAAAGTATAGCAAAGTTTGGATGTGATGGGAGAGGGTGGGGGAGAGACATTTTTGTTTTCCCTTTTTTTTTGGGGACTCACCTCAAATATTTCAATTTGGAAGAAAGTGGAGAGGAAAAAGGAACTAGGGATATTTTTATTTTATTTCTCTAGTTTAAAGAATTATTAAAAAAGTTATATAATATAAATTTAATTTTTTTAATGAAAAATATAATAAAAATTCAATTTTGTTTGATTAGTTTGTTTATATGATTATTAATAATTATTGTTTGATATAGTTAATTATTTTTATTCGTTCAAACAAGAAAATAGTTAATTATTTTTCTCTTTTGTCATTTATATAGACTACACATTTTTTTTAATTTGACTTCTATTCTTTTTTTTTTACTTTTTCATTATTTTTCTTTAATTTATCCCTTATTTTGCCTCATCTTAAATTTAAACATAGAATAACAATAAATTATTATTCAAAATATTTTATTATACTTTTATAGTTTTAAAATAATAAATACTCACTTCTGTATAAAAAATGCCAACATTCTTTAAAATTGATTTTAAATATATGTATCTCTTTGAGAGAGAAAGAGATTGTATTTTCAACAAAATCAAACATTTATACTTAAACTAATTCTATTATCTTCTTTGAAATTAATTTTAAATTATTTAAAATCAATTTTAAAATTTATCAATTTTTATAATTGTTTGAACACATACAATATTACACATGATAAGAATTAATAAATAAAATTTTATTATTAAAAAATTATATTACATCCAATTTTATTTATAATAAAAAAATATGAAAAATTTTATTTTAAAATATAAAAATAAATATTTATTTTAAAATTTATTAATTATGAAATTTTATACTTTATTTATTATTAAATTTATTTTTTATAAATATTTTTTTTATTTCCATAATTAAAGGCATCCAGTCATTTAATATATAAAACATCAATTAATAATACTAATATTTTAAAAAATTATAACTACTTTTTATTGATTTGAATGAATTAAGTTTTTTTTATAAATATAATCATAAACAATATAATTTAATAATTACAAGATATTAAATTTTATGATTTTTTAAAATATTGTATATATTTTTTATAATATATAACGTTGTAATAATTAACAAAATATTAGTTAATTTTAGTAAAAAAGTGGCAACATTGAAAAAATGGATAAATTAAAGAGGTGTATTAGTAACAGGTCGACAGACATACATGGAGTCACGTCGAGTTCATGAGCAGTATTTATCACCAAAGAGACATCACAACCAACAATCTTATTGATCGCAAGCAAACGCCAAATTGAAACACTCTTTCTCTTCTTCGCTTCTTCAATTCGAATCCAAAACACATCGATTTTTGGATCGAAAAAGATGGGTTCGACGAGGGTACCCAAGTTGGGGTCCTTCAGACACAGCTTCGCGGAGAAGAAGGAGAGGCTGCTTTCGATGAAGTCACAGATTGGGATCGCTCTGCCGGAGTCGGACGAGGAGCAGTTCTCGCCGGCGAGAAGACGGTGCTGCTCCTACCGTGCTTTTTCTGACGGGATGGTGAGCGGGTGGAGGAGCGTGAAGCGCGTGGCGGGGAGAGCGTGGGAGATGGGACGGTCTGATCCCCGGAAGATCGTGTTCTCAGCGAAAATGGGAGTGGCTCTCATTCTCATTTCCCTTTTGATTTTCCTCAAAAAACCCTTTCCCGATGTTAGTCGATACTCCGTTTGGGCCATTCTCACTGTCGTCGTTGTCTTTGAATTCAGCATAGGTATTCATTCAATCCCTCTTCTTCTTCTTTTTATTTAACAAAACTTTTTAGTGTAATTTTTTTTAGGTGGAATCAAAATTTGAATTTATCTCTATAATAGCGCTAAATATAAATACTTCATAAAAAAAGTTTTAAAATTTTTCAATTATGTGATAATTATACATTATTTTTGTGTTGACACTCATCAACTCATCCTTTCATATGCGTAGTTATAACATTATTAAAAACATATTTTCATAATAAATTAAAATATAATAAATATTTCAATAAAGATTGGAATTTATTCAATACATAAAATTTAATTTATAAATGATTATTAACTATTAGAAATTAAATATATATTTTAACTTAATAAATTAAGAATTTATATACTTTATAATTTTAGTGACCAGATTCATTATGCATGTAATTTTAAGAATTAATTTGACAGATATTTCTTTTGTTCCTATATATATATATATTCGAGTAATCGCTTACGATGGTTTCTAAAATTCACGTGGTACTTAGTTGATACAAGCTTGGTCTTTTTATTGCTAAAAGTAACATTAAAAACATTGGAACATAAATTTATATTAAGTGTTTTCCGACACTAAATTATTCTCTTCCTCCTCCGTGATGGATAATGAGCATTTACTGTTATTATTATTATTTTTTTAAGTATCTTTTGGAGTTTTAATTCCACATCCTCGTGTGGAATTAGCAAAGAGGATTAGTGCATAAAGGCTTGAATCCTTTAATGGAGATATAGTAAGGTATTTTGGTGAATAATGGGGAATAGCTCGAAGAAAATTGATTATAATATTTGATGTTTGTGTTCTGATTTGTTAGATCTGTTAATTTAGTTCGTTAATCGGGAAAATTGATTAAGGAACTAAATTTAGTTGAATTTTCCCAACGAGTGCCCAAGTGTAGTGATTAAGGAACATTTAATAGTTTTATTAAGGATAAAATTTAGATATAATATTAACAAAATGCTGAGCATTGGTTAAATAATTTTAATTTTTTTTATTAAAAATGCTATTAAATGCACACAAATTATGGTTTTCAATGTTTTCTGACTTTTATTTCTAATAAAAACATATTTTAATTTCTTAATCGATGTTCTTAGGACAGTTGTTAGTAAGACCAATAATATTATATGTATTTTTAATATTTTTTTAATTAAAATTAGAGTTTCATTTTTAATAATTCATGCTGACATTTTTTGATGACTTTAAATGTGCAAGTTGCTGTATTGAGACAAAATTTTAAATTTGATTAAAAATTACACAAAAATATAATATTGTAGTTAGGTTTTGTTATTTTATTAAATACTTTCAATTGCTTAAAAATTAAATATTAAAATATTTTTTTAATGTAATCTTATTTTCCCTCATTAAATACGTTTTACTTTTGTTTCGTTAACGAGTACCCTAAATAGTTATTATATAATGCCATTCTAATTTCAATTAGACAAAAGCTATCTACTTTTCCCTAGTTACTTCTTCTTTACGATGATTGAAATACCTAGTTATAAATTTGAGTTTGTTTGGGGAAGGTGTTTAAGCAAGGTTCTAGCTTATTTGACTATTTTAAAATTTTGTTTGAGCAAACTAGACCTTTTTGATACGAGTTTATTTTAGTTGCTTTTTGTTCAAATTAGATTTTCATATAGCGTTTGAAGTTATAAGCTCTTAACTTATTATTCTTGTTTCCAATTTTATCTTCAATATCTTATCATAATTTCTTATTTTATTTTTATTACGTAGTTTTATCAAACACAATTTAATCAGCTAACCTATCAATTTTCAACATTTAGCTAATTTTTTAGTTTTCAGTTAACTTGTCGGTATTTAATTACCTATTTGTTTTGCCAAATACACCCTTTGTCTACCACTGCATGTGGATCAAGTAGCACAGGGTTATTTCAGCTTTATTAGTGGTCTCGAGTTCTAGTTCCAAAGCATGTAGTTGTGGTCTTGAACTGGATTGTCTCGGGTGGAAGATACCTATGGTTTTTTTTTTTTGAAAAAATACACCCTTTGTCTGCTGCATGTTCCAAAGCCACTACTACTTTAATCCAATTTTTTTCCTATACTTCGTCCTTTCTTAAATTTGATATTCCATTCATTCCTATATTCCAAATTTCTTCCGTGAGTTATAAGCAATAATTGGTCGCAATGTACTCCTGCAGGGGCAACTCTTAGCAAAGGGCTTAACAGAGGATTGGGGACTTTGTTAGCTGGAGGACTTGCTATGGGAATTGGAGCTTTGTCAAAGTTGGCTGGAAAATGGGAAGAACTCATAGTAATGATTAGCATCTTCACTGCAGGTCTTATTTTCAAATCACTTCTTCTTCTTATACTGGTTACATTTGTTTGGCTTATTTATGCCTTTTTTTTTTCTTTTCTGAAAGTATGAAGTATTATGACTGGCAGGATTTTGTGCCACATATGCAAAACAGTACCCAACAATGAAGGCTTATGAATATGGTTTCCGTGTGTTCTTGATCACCTATTGCTACATTATTGTATCTGGGTATCGAACAGGAGAATTTGTTGATACAGCTATAAATAGATTTTTGCTCATTGCACTTGGTGCTGCTGTATCTCTAGGGGTAAATGTATGTATTTATCCAATCTGGGCTGGTGAGGATCTACATGATCTGGTGGCCAAAAATTTCATGGGAGTTGCAACATCATTGGAAGGTTGTCTACAATATTTTCTTTAGCATCACATTTAGTTTGTGATCAACTAATCAACTAACTAACTACTACTATGAAGGTTGTTGCTCACAGTGTTATTTCCTTGGTGGAATAACGTTGTTAAGCTTCTTTTCAGGTGTTGTTAACAACTATCTTAATTGTATTGAATATGAGAGAGTGCCTTCAAAGATTCTTACATACCAAGCTGCTGAGGATGTGGTTTACAAGGGATACAGATCAGCTGTAGAATCTACAAGCACAGAGGATACATTGGTAATATATACTTTTTTTGTGTGTTCACTTTTAAAGAAAAATATTGATAATATTTTTGACTCAGAGATACATACTTCTTATTGAAGATGGGTTTTGCTGTATGGGAGCCACCTCATGGTCGTTACAAAATGCTTAGATATCCATGGCAAAATTATGTGAAAGTAAGTGGGGCACTAAGGCATTGTGCATTTATGGTCATGGCTATGCATGGATGTATACTTTCTGAAATACAGGTAATTCTTAACTTGCAGCTTTTCTGTTAGAAAACATTTGAGCCTTCACTTTTTGTTTTCTTCCTTTTTTGAGTGTCTAAGGAAAGTGGCATGTGTATGCAGATCTTGTGATGATCTGTCTTTTATATATATATATATATATATTGTGTTCATTCTTGATTTATTTTACTCTAGGTTTGTTTTCTCACTGGAACATGTTATTACTCGAGTGTTTTAAATTAATTTAATATTTAGAGAAGAGGTAATTTGCAAGGTGACACTGGTTTAAATAATAGTTGATAATTTGTTGAATTATGTTGCCAGAAATGACTCTGGGTTCAGATGTTGTCTTTGATGCTAGAAGTGTGAAGAGGTCAAAACTTGAGGATTCTTCTATAAACTGAGATAGACCATCAAATTTAGCCTCTTGTCTTCTTTATAGAAAAGTGCCTACTGATTGTAAACCTCAGACTTCGGATAAACTACTACGCCATGCTGAAATTTAGCTTCTTTGTAATCCACTGCTAATCACAATCTCTTCGGTCCCGAACTTCAGAATATTAATAATGCTTCAGGTTGTCTTCACATTTTGTCATCCCCTATCAACCCCTTCAGCACCAATCTTTTTATTCTTAGTGCCAATTTTGTTATCCACTGCTAAAGAAATGTTTTCGAAGGCCTAGTGCTTGTTTGAATTTTACGTTTAAATGGTCATGGATCCATGTTTATTTTTAGAATTTTGGTTTCACGCTAGGATGTAGGTTGATTCACATTTACTTCGTTATTAGTTATAGCTTCTGCCTTTGATTCACATTTACAAACTTTCTAATGTGTTTCCAAACATACACAAACACTGCTAGTTGTAGCTTCCACGTTGGATCCACACTAAATAGGTTTTTTATGGATTTCCAGACACAATCTTAAGGGTTTCCCATGTGTAACTCTGATTTGATAGATTGTTTGTGGATTAAAAAACTTCTGTTATTTACGACATCAAGACAGATAAACTTGACCTTGTCAGTCCTTCATATTCAAAATGCAAGTCCTTTTATGCTTCCTTTTCTCATCCCAGTAGATTGTCTGGTCACTGAATTAAACTGAAGTCTTTATGATGCCAAATTACCATTTCATTTTTTTACCATTTCTTGTCAAAACAAGATATCGTTATAATGTATTCCTGTTGCACTAATCGTTACTTCTACAAGTGATGTTATGGATCCTTATGAAGTACCTAGAATACTGCTAGGCGATACCCTCTGCATTGCTTTATTACACTTGAAATTTGGATCAGATAGTTTATCATTTGCATGCAAAAGTAGCTTAGTGGAATAGGGTCTGCAACTGGAAACTGTGATTCTGATAATTTAAAATAAAATTCTTTTAAACCATCTGTAGTCTTACTTTATGAAGTTCTTTCTCTTGAGATAGGGAAAGCATCTTTAAATAGTTTGAAATTTTTTTTTCCATTTCAATACTTTTTGTTCCCTTTTTTTTTCAGTTTAGTTTTTTTTTATGCAAATACACATGTACTAAACCTCTTTGATAAATAGGCTCCAGCTGAGAAGAGACAAGTTTTTCGTAATGAGCTACAAAAGGTAGGTTCTGAAGGGGCGAAAGTACTCCGGGAACTTGGTAACAAAGTTAAGAACATGGAGAAACTAGGCCAGGAAGACATTCTTTACGAAGTACATGATGCAGCAGAAGAATTGCAACAGAAAATTGACAAAAAATCTTTCCTGCTTGTAAATTCAGAGAGCTGGGAAATTGGAAACCGGCCAAGAGGGGAGGGTGATTCTCATGACCTCTTAAACATCGATGAAGAAAGACATTTCTTGGAGTACAAGTCTCTTAGCGAAGCCGTGCTTGATCTCAGAACTGTCAAGGTTCCAAGAAGTTGGGAAGAACAAGCTTCACCTGACCCTAAACCTGCAATGCCTGCAACTGTTGGTGATGAAAACATGTTCAGGAAACAAATATCTTGGCCTGCTCATATTTCCTTTAAAGCTGATGCAGTGACAAAAGAGGAAGAATCCAAGACTTATGAAAGTGCTAGTTCACTGTCTCTAGCAACATTTACATCCCTACTGATTGAGTTTGTGGCAAGGCTCCAGAACCTTGTGGATTCTTTTGAAGAATTAGGTGAGAAAGCAAAATTTAAGGACCCTCTTCAGCAAGCGCCAGCAAGTTCTGGTGGGTATTGTAACGGCTTGTTTAATTGTTTGATACTCAAAGATTGAGAATATAGCAACATGTGATGTATCATGGATAGATCTAAATTCAATGCCAATATACCAAAATCAATGTGTGCATGTCTGATTCTCTCTGTCATCTGCACTATTCCTTAACCTGCACCTCTTCTTTGAAATGATCATTTTTTTATTGGCTTTGCCACCCAGCACAACCCACCTGTTGTTAAATCAACAACCTCCTAGTGCTATTGGTGAAGTTACCTCACTAAATTTTGATCATTAAAACAGGTTTAGTTCTCCGTTTTCTTTGTATATTAGCTTTCTTAAAAAAGCTTAAAATTTTTTTGTGTATATCTTAAAATCTATTTTTGTGTTCACTACAGCTTAAAAAAAAATAAATTTAATATTCATTAAAAATAGTCTGGATTGCCAAAACTCCTTTTCCCGATTACATTATTATTATTATTATTAATCATTGATTTATCATTTTTCTTTTATAGTTTTGTCAATACTTTTTTTCGTCTCCTTCACTTTGCATATGATCTGTTTTACACTACCGAGTCTTCTTCAATCATATCCAAATTACTTTAAAGTAATATTTTATCATATTTTTTACTATAGTTATTTTTTTAAATTTTTTATAATAATTCATATTTAATCTTGTTTGGTCTAATATATTTATATATTGAATATAATATATCCATCTCTATTATATACATATTTTTAATTTTTTTACTGTCCTAAATTCAAATTTAGTAACATGGTAGATCTTTCACTTTTTACGGTATTGTGTATTTTTTTACACCAATTTTGAAGGCTAAATATTGTTGAAATATAATTCTTGATGACTTTTTCTTTTTCAAATTTACAACCGGGCTCGTAGCCCCCTGAAATTATAAAAAATAGAATTAAAATAACTGAGACTTAGAGCTTGTTTATTTCTGTTTTGATTATTAATTTTTAAAAATTATATTTTAAAATAATTTTAAATTGAATTTAAGACGTAAATAAAAATAAAATTTATCTTACCAAATAAATTTTATTTTATTTTTAATTTTTTTAAAAAATTTGTTTTTAAAAACATAAAATAAACAAGTTCAAATAATTTTTTTAATTTTTTATAAAAATTTACCGATTCTTATAATTTCTTGGATTAATTTTATTTAAGGTATAGCTTCACAATTACAACCCGTATTGTTTTTGGGTCGGGTAGAATCATTTTCGGGGCAAGGTTGATTTGAAGATTTTGCAGCCAATGATGAACATTACAAAGGAAAGAAGCAGTTACACCCTCGAGAATGGTGAAATTCCAGGGAAAATTATAAAACCAATCTTCTCTCTGTCCAAACAGTAGATCCGATCCGCTACATTCCCCTTCCACTCCATCCATCCTTCCTTCAGGTGCTACAACACTTCTCCTTCCCTCTCGTTGTCGCTACACATTACTTCTTTTTTCTTTCAATTTTTTTAATTTCTCTCAATTCTCTCCGAATTATGTAGTCCATTGCTTCTGATAATAAAGCATATTGTAGATTTCGAGGTTTTCCCTTTTGTCGTTTTGCGTTTGTAATCGAGCAAATCATTGATCTCCGATTGCAGTTCAAGGATCTGGTGAAACGACATGGCGATGGTGGATCAACCTCTGTATCCGATTGCCGTTTTGATCGACGAGTTGAAGAACGAGGACATTCAGCTGCGGTTGAACTCGATCCGAAGGCTTTCCACGATCGCGCGCGCGCTCGGCGAGGAGAGAACTAGGAAGGAGCTGATTCCGTTTCTGAGTGAGAACAACGACGATGACGACGAGGTGCTTCTCGCAATGGCAGAGGAATTAGGTGTTTTCATTCCCTACGTTGGAGGTGTTGAGCATGCCAATGTGCTTCTTCCTCCGCTGGAAACTCTCTGCACCGTTGAGGAAACTTGTGTTAGGGACAAATCAGTGGAGTCACTGTGTAGAATTGGAGCTCAGATGAGAGAAAAAGACTTGGTTGAACACTTCATTCCTTTGGTTAAGGTAGTACGTAGTGGCATTCACTGCATTTCATTTCGTTTGGTTTCGTTCTTGGCGTTAATATTATGAATCTGATTGTGGTTAGAATGGGATTCATTGTGTTTATTGTTGTGTTTGTTCTGATTTCCAACGTGTAGAGGCTGGCAGCTGGTGAGTGGTTCACGGCACGTGTTTCTTCATGTGGCTTGTTCCATATTGCATACCCTAGTGCACCAGAGGCGTCGAAGACTGAGCTGAGAGCAATATATGGTCAGCTGTGTCAAGATGATATGCCCATGGTTAGGAGATCTGCTGCTACAAACCTGGGAAAATTTGCTGCTACTGTTGAAGCTGCTCACTTGAAAACCGACATTATGTCTGTGTTTGAGGATCTCACACAGGATGGTATGTGAAGTTGATATAACTAATTCCAGCACCATGTCATGGATCTGTTAAAAGTAGGCTGAACATAATGATAAGTGCAACAATGTTAGTAATAATTGTGTTCAGTTCAATTAGTTTTGTTGCTTAGATAAGGTGAGGAGACCAATAGAACGGTGGCTACTCTTCTATGGCTGTGAATGATACTCTGAAAACAGTCTGTTTCCTCTTGGGCTTTGTGAGAATCAGATAATGAAATTTTATGTTTGACTATGATCGCTCCATGTAGATTAGGAATAAGATCTATTTAGGCCCAGAAGATCAACAAGAAAAAAACCAGAAATGAAAAAGAAGTTTGGAATATGATTTTAAGACATTTTTGAAGTCTGTAGACAAGTTTCTACCTGTTCATTTGTGATGTGAATGTTATAGTTCTTCAAAGTAAAGACCCTAAAATACAAGAAATATTCTCTAAGAACTGTTCTCTAATTTTCTACTACCCTAAAATTCTTGATATAGAAGGAGAAATATGTATGTACTAATCTTTGCAAATTGCAAATAACTACACACACACAGAGACTTTATAAGATGAACTGGCCTTGTTACTGATCTTTCCAATAAATGAAACAGTGATCATGTTTTTAATTTCAAAGGGGCCCAAATAGTGGAACTTTAACCAGATGAAGGAAATTCTCAAGTGGACATTCACATAAACCATAATCAATGAATATGACAAAATATTGTTGTTGCATATAATATAATTAGAGAACTTGGGTTCCTAATTAATTTTTCATGTTAAGTTGTTTTTAAGACAGTGCAACTTCAAATAATGACATGGTTAGTGGTTCAGATGAGAGATTTTAGTTTCCTTTATTCTTGACATTTTTAATTTCTTTTCCTTGTCAGAAATTGAAGGGGTTGTTAGTGTATAAGACTTGTTTTGGACTGACTGATATGATAAATGAATACAGTTTGAGTCTGTCATGCTCATTTGTTAGTTATTTTGTACTATGTTTCATAACTTGATCTGCCGGATGTGCATATATTAACTAATGACTTCTCGACCCTGGTTCTTGCAGATCAAGATTCTGTTCGGCTACTTGCTGTTGAGGGTTGTGCAGCTCTTGGAAAATTATTGGAGCCTCAAGATTGTGTGGCACATATTCTTCCTGTCATAGTCAATTTTTCTCAGGTATGTTGATCATTGGTAATTTAAATCAGGAAGATATGCATTTTGTATCCTTTGGCTTGTTGATTTACAGACATTTAATTTACCAAAAAAAAGACAGTTCCTATCAACAATGATAAGAGTTCCATGGTTGAACTATATCACTTTCAAATTCTTCTGTCTGTCTTCATATATCTTTAGGTAGCCTTCACATTAACATATGCATGGTTGAACTCTCTAGTTGGGTCATGGTCATGTCCAAAATGTTACAAAAATAGTTGAGCCTATTTCCATTAAGTGCCTTCATGAGGACATTGGCAATCTTTTCCCTTATCCCTAGTCCTAACATGTATTATAGATATAAGTCCTTGCTAGATCTTTTCTCAAATGAAGTGGCAATTGGCTTCTATTCAATTTGTCTTTTCTTGAAAAACCAGGTTTGAGGCAATGTGAAGGACAATGTAGTTATTGCACCACAGCTGCATAGGTGAAGCAACTTTAAATCTAAATGATACATCCATAATAGTTCAAATGAAGTTTAAGCCATTGCTTCATATTCAAGCTTTGTACTCGATCTTGCTCCTATGTTTTGCTATTTGATCTACCAATTAATTAAATTTTCTCAAAGGAGACAAATTGCCAAACCTGCATTGTGTTAGAAAGAAAGAAACGAGAAGGTATAGGATGAATCCTTGTGTTTTGAATACAGAGCGGAGATATCTATTGATAATAATAAGTCATGATAAATTCATGATTTACAATTATGCTAATTACATTATTAACCATTTTACAATATTATCCTATCTATTTACATTAATCTCAACATAACAGTTTCCCTTAAGGTGTAGCATATATATCATATGCACTAAGCTTGTTAAATATATAATTGATATGAGGTCTAGTTGATTAAAATTGACGAATTGAGTGACATTTCCAAATAAGGTATTTTCTTTAATGAAGTGTCATTTTATTTCAATATGCTTAGTCCTCATGAAAAATTGGGTTTGAGGCAATATGAAGAGCAATTTGATTGTCATAGATTTGGGTCATCTTTGTAATCTCTCCAAACTTCAATTTCTTCAGTAGTTGTTTGAGCCATGAGTTGACAAGTGGCTGAAACCATAGCTTGATACTTTATTTCTGCACTTGATAGTGCAACAATACTTTGTTTTTTGTTTTTCTAAAAGATCAAGTTATCACTAATGAAAATACAGTACCTAGAGATTGACCTCCCATTTGTGTGTGAGGTTGTCCAATTTGTATATGAATATCCCGCAATTCAAGTGTATGCTTTGTCTTCATACAAAAAACCTTTTCCTAGAGTTTCCTTGGTATATTTTATGATGTGGATAGTTGTGTTCTAATGTTTCTTACAAGGAGAGTTGAAAATTGTCTCATCACACTTGTAGCGAAAGAGATATCATAATGAGTGATAGTAAGATAATTTAATTTTCTAACAAGTTTTCTATATTTCTCTGAATCTGTGAGAGGCTCTCCCTATCTTTGTAGAAGTTTGATATTAGGATCCACGAGAGTATCAATAATTTTAGCATTTTATCAATTTTGTCTCCTCTAGGATATTCATGGCATACATCCTTTGAGAAACTAAAATGTCAATTTTAGCTTGAGCTACTTCTATTCCCAAGAAGTATGTAAGCCTCCCAAGATTCTTGGTTTGGAAGTGATGACAAAGATTTTTCACTTGTGAGATTCTGTGGTGGTTATTACATGTGATGATAATGCTGCTGTCTATGTAGATGATGTGGTAAATGCACTTATGAGGCGGCATTAGAAGATGGAGTGATCAACTTCATTTTGAGTCACCAAATTATTGAACTATTGTACTAAACCTACCAAACCATGCTTGGAGAGATTGCTTAAGACTATACAAAGACTTTTGTAGCCTACAAATGAGTCTCAAAGAGTGTCCTTAGGCAATGAAACTAAATAGTTGTTTCATATAGACTTCTTCCAAAAGGTCTTCATGTAGGAAGACATTCTTAATGTCTAATTGATCAAAAGGTCAATAACAAATGTCTGCAATAGATAAGAATGAGTGAGCAAAGGACATCTTGAGTACAAGTGCAAATGTGTCACCGTAACCCAGACAAAAAATAACTTTTGGCTACTGGGCTGGCTTTTAGTCGATCCACTTTGCTGTTAGGATAAACTTTAACAATGTAGACCCATCAACACATAACTATTATGTTACTAACTCTACTGACTCACCTTCAGTGTCACATCATTTGTCCTTTCCAACCTTGCTTGTTGAGTCAAGGATGAATTCATATGTTTTCAATACACAACAAAGCTATCTATTTATAATAATTAGTCATAATAAAATACATGATTTACAATTATCTGGAGTCATGCTAATTTCATAGTTATCGTATTTACAATATTGTCCTATTTATTTACATTAATCTCAACATGCATTAGAGTAACTTTCCAATCAGCAGTGGCCACGGTCTTTAAAAAGAATCCCATGTCCTCAACCTTTTTATAGATGCCTCAAGATATGCTATGTTGTATCCCATGAGTGATTCATACATGTGTCAGCATTGGACAACCCAGCTCTACTGCTGGCCACCAAAGGTCCCACTGAGCCTCCCCAGTGCTGAACTGGTTTATCACTGTTTGATTGGTCATCACTAACAATGAACCTTGTGGCTTTCTTTGGTTTGTGACTTGGAGGTCATGATATTGTTGATTTGGACCTATTGATGAAAAAAGGGTAGAATTGCACCTGAGATAGCATGGTCACTTGAAAAAATACCAATAGATGCTGTGGTAAAAAAAATTTGTTCAAATGGAGGTTAGGCTATTAGTATGAGGCAGAAGAAGACGAAGAAAAACTAGGTAAAAACCATGAAAAAAAACTTGGATCTGAATGGCCTCTTCAAAGACTTGGTTTTTGACAAAGCATAATGGCATTGTTTGATCCACGTAGTTGAGCCCACCTAATGGAAAAAGCTTTTGTTGTTGTTTATAATAGTGTCACTTAGTTTTCATTCTATTTCTTGTTTTCAAAGATTTGTATAGGTAATACTGAAAATAACTTTTTCTATTTTTACTGTTGCTTTTACAAATATTTGAAAATGAGAAACAAAATAAAAATTTAATGACAATTTTGTAATTAAAAGTGAAAATGGATGATGTTTTCTGAAACCAAACAATCCCTTTTTGAGCTATAAAGTAGTATGGATTCGATGCACTGGACTCATAGATTAAATGATTTAAGTTGGAAATGGTCCAATGTGGTCATGCAGTCATGCTTGGGTGATAACAATCCTCGTATCCCACTACATATTGAGTTATTTGACAGTTGCATGAGTTTTCTAGTTGACTTATATGAGTAACAATTATGTCAGGAGTTATTCATCAGTTGAACGAGTTCACTCCTGGGATTCAGGCCTGTAGAAGATGGATTCTCTTAACTTTTAGTTGGTTGGCTGCATGTTTTTCATGTTCATGGTCCTCTCCTTTTGTCATTTTGGAAAAATCTTTTTGTATTTTTAAAACTGAAAAACAAAAAGTTAAAAAATTAATTTTGCTTTTGCTGGGTTTTGTTGTTTCCAAAATGAAGTTCTGCATGTTGTTACATGGATGAATTACTTCTTATCCAGGACAAGTCATGGCGTGTTCGTTACATGGTTGCAAATCAACTATATGAACTATGTGAAGCTGTTGGTCCTGACCCCACTAGGTAACATTTCCTACCTGCTAAATTATTGGTTGGTTATTGTGATTTTTCTACAGGCTATTTGGTAAAAATACTTATGATCGAATGTATAAAAATTATGATTGGATATTAATTTCTTCTTGGTCTATGAGAAGATTGAAAAAGTATTTGGTTTCCCGTATTCTGATTGTTTATATGATGGTGATGCATTTGTAGGTCAGAATTGGTTCCTGCATATGTTCGGCTGCTGCGTGATAATGAGGCTGAAGTACGTATTGCTGCTGCTGGGAAAGTAACTAAGTTCTCCCGCATATTAAATCCTGAACTTGCCATTCAGCATATTCTACCTTGTGTGAAGGTATACATTATTACATTACCATTAAAACTTAGGATTCTTACTGGTTAAAACTTATGATACTTGCTTAATTACAACTGATCAAGTTTGCCTGCTATAGGAGTTATCAACAGATTCATCTCAACATGTTCGTTCTGCATTGGCTTCTGTTATAATGGGGATGGCACCAGTGTTAGGAAAGGTATGAATCTCTATCTAAGCTCATGAGTTATACTGACATAAAATTAACACATTAAAAACTATAGCTACCTAGACGGATAAAAACCACATGGCTTTATTTTTATCTCAGTGTTAGGGGTATTTATATTTTCAGACTATTTTTTTTTTTTGGTTCTATCATTTTTCATCTCCTCAGACTAGAACACCCCTGTTTCTGTTTTCTTATACTCATTGTTCCTGTGTGACATCTTTGATTCTATTCCTTTATCTCTTGAAACTGTTCCCCTCTAAATGTAACTAAACTCTTTTTAAAAAAGGCAGGATGTGTGTGTCTTCTTACTTTTACTATATTTTTGTGGTGCTTGCAGGATGCTACAATTGAGCAACTTCTCCCTATTTTCCTTTCTCTTTTGAAAGACGAGTTTCCTGATGTTAGGCTAAATATTATCAGCAAGCTGGATCAAGTGAACCAGGTTTGTGGTTTAATATTGAATATTCTATCAAACTTGCAATGTACATTTCATACTTTATTATTTTTCACGTACTCCCTCTATTGAAGCTTTATAATGCACTTGTGTATTGCAGGTTATTGGTATTGATCTGTTATCACAGTCTCTGTTGCCAGCTATCGTTGAGCTTGCTGAGGATCGACACTGGAGAGTTCGACTTGCAATCATAGAATATATACCCTTATTAGCAAGTCAGTTGGGTGTTGGTTTTTTTGATGATAAGCTTGGAGCTCTTTGTATGCAGTGGCTAAAGGACAAGGTTTGTGAAGCAACTAAAATTATGTTCAAATTAGTTCTACTCCTCTTCATGGAAAATGTGCTTGTTTCTAATTTGCGTTTAAATATGCACCCATTGGCTGATCTCTCTCTCTCTCTCCATGAAAAGGAAAAAGAACTGTTGCAACAGATCTTAAAATGAAATTTGCAATTTTGGGCGCTCATGCTGTAAAAGGACTTAAAACGAAAATAAAGCAGAATTTAATAAAAAGCTCAAGTCTTATGTTTGATGATTGATGAAAGGTTTAAATCGAACCTTCTATTGAGTTAGTTATACAAAATGTTCAAGACTTCTCTAGTCAGGAAGCTTGCTATTTTTGTAGGTTGGGGAAGGGGGGGGGGGTGGTTCACTGCTGTTCTGTTTATATTTTATTATTTGTTACTTAGAACAAATGTATCATATTGACTTCTACTATATTGGTTACGGATGTAGGTATACTCAATCCGTGATGCAGCCGCTAATAACATCAAACGCTTAGCAGAAGAATTTGGACCAGATTGGGCAATGCAGCACATTATTCCCCAGGTTTTTACAGCGCATGACTTACTAGATGTGCATCTGCAGTATATTTTACCATAAACTATATAAAATGATTCCAACCCACACCAAGGATATCATAGACATCCTTTAAACTGATGTTTTGAAAATGTTGACTCAAACTTTTATGGCCTCTGTGTACACCCAGTTTTTCTTATGTCATGAAATTTTTTATAGATTAATTAAAAATTAATAATGCCAAAAAGAGTTCAGGTTTCTTGATGCATTACATCTTAGCCTAAGTATAAAGTCTATAATCAACTATAGCCTGATAAGAAAAATGAAAAATACCTCCTAAATGCTAATATTAAATACGGTGGTATGTCAACTAAAAAAGGATGATCTCCTGTGCAGGTTTTGGACATGATTACTGATCCACATTATTTGTATCGCATGACAATTCTACAAGCAATTTCTCTACTAGCACCTGTCCTGGGCTCAGAGATTACTTCTTCAAAACTGCTACCTCTGGTCATTAATGCATCAAAAGATAGGTAAAATTTCATAGTCCTCACTCCTGTTGTATATCTTTATTTGAGCCAGTGCTCACAGCATATCTTGCAGGGTGCCCAATATCAAATTCAATGTTGCTAAAGTGCTGCAGTCTCTCATTCCAATTGTTGATCAGTCTGTAAGTGTCTTCCATTTAACGTTTCATCTTTAATAATACACTTCCAATAGCTACTCAGATGACAATATGATTGCTAGACTAAAAAATTTGTATCGTTAAAATTATTTTGATGTATTAATTTGGTCTGGAAATACTAAGATCTAGACTATTCTGGGCTGGAATTTCATGTATGCAACTTTGAATTGTTTTTTTTTTTTTGTTGAATTCTTTTCTATAAAAAAATTTGCTGAAATTGCTTAGCTTAACAAAGCTAGCTGAAAGCTAAGCTGTTCAGTAAACTAATAATATCACTTGAAAATCTTAATCCCAATACTTCTCACCAGACTATTGCTCGTTTTCAATAAAGCTTGTGGCATTAAGGAATGGCTATGAAATACATTTTTGTCTGATAGAAGACCGTTTGGTCGCTCTGCCCAAATACAACATTCTTTTAATGTCTTCTAACTAATTGTCGTTTGAACAATGAAGGTTGTTGAGAATACCATCCGTCCCTGTCTGGTGGAGCTCAGTGAGGATCCAGATGTTGATGTTAGGTTTTTTGCCTCACAAGCACTACAATCTAGTGACCAAGCCAAGATGTCTAGCTAGATCAATCTTCATATTGTCTGTCTTTTTTTTTTCCCTTATGTAATTGGCGTAAAGCCAACTAGCTCAACCCTGTGTATCACATATCATTGTTGAGATCCTGCTTTGCTTTCATTATATCCGATATTCATAGAGCTGGTTCTTCTTTGTAGTGATGAAACATTGTCCAGAAGTGAGAGGGGTTTTGACAACCACTAATTCTATGATTTACCAATGTGAACGTTTTGTATGAAATTTTGATTTATTAATACCATGAGTATATTCATTATCTGCTTAAAAGTTGTACTTTATAAAGCCTGGTACTTGTTTGTGTTATGAGAGATGTTTTTGTAAACAAATTTAAAAGGGTAGTGACTAAGGAAATAACGTGCGACCATATTAGATGTGCGTGCTGGTTCGCTTTTCTGTTTGGAATATTGGGTAGTTTACCCTAAAAGAAAAATAACTGATGTGTACGTCTGGGAACAAAATGAAATAAAATGAGTGGCACCGCATCTTTTTATAAATTAAATATCCAAATTGATGGCTGACCGGTGACACATCAATTCTTTCAGAAGAAAATATTTATGGAGGTTCCCGATTAGTGATATCGTGTTGCGTTCGTTTTTATTCCCCTCAGGTCATGCGCACGCTTGACATGTTAGTTGATGATAACTTGCCAGCGACGACAATAACTAGGTGATAGTCTCTCTATCCCAACGTGCCCATCTCAGTCCATAGGCTTCTGTGTTGTCCCAACTAGTAAAGCCATCACCTGTTTATGTTGTTCCAATTACTGCAGCATCCTCACTAGAGGACAACCTTTGATGAGGTCACCCAATTTTGTGAAACCCACCTGCACTTCAGATGCAAATAGAGGAGCATCTGCCAGTGAGTCTATGGAGTAGTAAATATGTTGCTTATTAAGAGAGGTGTAGGAAACATTATCTCGAAAATTTATAACTTTTACTTAATTATTGTATGTGAAATAGACGATTTCAACTATTTCTTGAAGAATAGTGGTAACCAACTTAGATCTAAACACTTCTACATTCATAATCATGTATAAGAGAATACAGCAGTGACAATTAAATTTGTTCATTATGGAACGTCGTTTGGAAAAAATGACTACCAAGGGGTAAATGGTCAGACTCTAATTAGATCTAACAGAAAATATAAACTGAATACAGTTAACAAGAAATTCCATTCCCGGGCATAAGACCATTTTCCGCTTCATTAAAGTTGGGTCTATACAGTTTTATGTTGGCAATAAGAGATTCAACGGCACCACTTAAACCCTTCCTCCCAACCAAACTCACCCCAAAATTATGGTTTAACATTCTCATCCTGTTTTCGTCTCCCTCCACCTGACTCAACTCAATGATCTGCTTCTTTGAAAGCAAGGCATAGAGATAAAGACTGCCAGCGTCTAAGACAGCTCCTCCAATTTTAACCCTTAGTAATGAACTGGAATCAAGATCATTCAGTTTTGGATCAAACAAAGCAGAGAAGCTCCCAAATGTCAGATCAGGTTTCACAAATAATTTGGTCAAATCATCATTCTCCGGGTTGATATTTCTTGACGCGTCAACGAGTGTTGAATATCTCCTCTTTGCCACTCTCAAAATGTTTGCAGCCTCTCTCATTCCACTGAGAAATGCTCCATGCATTGTTGCAGGATACTGTTTGCTAGTCGCCTCTCCAGCAAAGAACACTCTCCCCTCTCCAACACTCTCTGCAAGAATATCATAATCGTCTCCAGAAGACCCAACAGCGACATAAGAGTAAGATCCATACGCAAAGTGATCCTTTCCCCACCGTGTACACACTGCCTGAACCGGATCCGGAACGACAATTCCCTTAGGATTAAAAATATCCTTCAGAATGTCCAACACCCTTCTGACGGACTCCACCGGCGACATCATCTCAAACCTAATCGCAGCCTCCCCAGCAACAAGTGCAACGAGAAGTGGGCCTCCAGACACAGAGGAGTAGCTATAGAACAGAAAAAACTCACCCCTCATACTCAAATCCTCAGTCAAATGACCAAACGTATCAATATTCCCACCCCAGAAATTATATGGGAACAGCATTGCAACCTTATTCAGCAACCCAAACCCCAACCTATGAATTGCATCCCTCTTCCTCTGAGGAAGCTCAGGGACAAACTCAATAGACCCCTTCTTAAGCACGCCCAACGGCACAGTACAAAGCACCATATCCCCCCGAAAATCCTGCCCGCCAGCACAAACAATCACCCCATCAGACCCATACTTAATGCACTCCACAGTCCTCCCATAGAAAATTGGAAGGTCCTCAGCCAAAGCGCGAACAAAAATCTCATTCCCCCCAGGAATGAAACAATGATCACCCCCCATCTCATAAGGATCATCCTGATCCCAATATGCCATTGACAAATTAGACATCAGTGTAGCATTGGCATACTCCAAATTTGCAAGATGCCAATTCAACAACATCCTCTCCTCCTTATCCTCAGCAACCTTATAAACGCGTCGGAAAGCCTCCAACGCTGTCCCCAGTGGCACGTCCACAGACTTAACCTCCTCAATCATAGCCTGCCTAAGCTTACAAACCCTCTCCAACAACTTGTTAAACGAAACCTCAACCCTAGAATCAACCTCAGAATCAACAGATTTCCCATCAGGCATATAAAGAGGACAAATATCCCTAACCTTATGAAGTGGCAAACCCAATTGCCTAGCAAGAACACCAAGAGGGTTCCCATTTATTCCAGTGAGAACACTCCCACCAAAGTCCGCTGCAGCCTCAATCCCATCATCACCCGCCATCTTCTTGGTCTTAACCCTTCCACCGGGTCGGGTCCTACCCTCCAAAATCACAACTTTGAACCCCATAAACACCAATTGCCTTGCAGCAACCAAACCCGCGAGTCCAGCACCCACAACAATCACTGTTCCTCTCTCTAACCCATCAAAAGATTTCAACTTCGAAGCTTTTATCTCATGGGCAACACCAAAGTTTATGTAACCGTGTTCCAACAAGAACCGGTAAGCAGATTCCACCAAACCCTTGTGTTCGGATCGGATTGACCGGAGGGCCCGGTCACAGGTTAACCAAACCGAAACATTTGATCGCCACCGAGCGAGAATGTGGTTTCGGACAACGATGTAGTTCGACTGTTCGGAGCCTCCGATGGTGGAAACCACGTTGGCTTCGATTTCTTCCTCTGTTAACGAATCAACGGGGAACCCTACTGAGATCGCGATTAGGGCTTCCACGTCGCAGTCTTTGGTCACGTCGTTGCGGCGGTTCTTCGCCAGCGATGCTGCAGTGGTGAGTTCCGTGAAGAATTTCTTTCGACGGCGTCGTTTTCGCTGAGGAGGAACCGGTTCGGGTCGGGTAGGAATAGGGTTTGGTTGTTCGGAGGAGGAGTCGGGGGAGTCCGGAACGGCAAGCTCTGGCGTCGTTTGGTTGGGAAGAGAGTCTTGGTCTTCGGAGGAGTTTTGGAGATCGATGAGGATAGGGTTTTGTGGGGACGTTACGACGTTATTCCCTGGCGAAACGGGTTGCGGGGGCGGTGGTGACGGTTCCGCCGCCGTCGCGTCCATCGTTGGTGGGTTTATGTGAGTATCTTCACTCATGCAGGTCACGATCTCTTCCACTTTCAAATAATTTATTTTTTCGCATTTTCAGATATAATTTATTGTTTCAGTGTCCACCTCGTTTATATTATTTGAAATTGTGTTTAAGAGGATGTTATTAAATTAATAAATAATAAACTATGCAATATTACGCATAATTAAAAATAACTTTTTGTTATAAAGTATAATATTAAACAATATTGATATATTAATTATGTAATTTTAATAAATTTTTATTACTTATAATATTGTATTTATTAAAAAATTGTTATATTATTATAATTGAAATTTTTTGAAGCACGGATTGTATTCTCTATGAGAAATTTTAAAATATGAATAGTTATACTATTTTTTTGATGAAAAGTTGTATTCAATCAATTTGCTTTATTTAAATCAAAACTTATCTTAATTTAATTTAAAAATTATAATGTTTCATACAGATTAATTATAAATATGTTCATCAAAGAACATATTTTTATATGAAGTAACATTAGATAAAATAATATAACTATTAAAATAAAAGTAATTCTTTGTAAAGACAAAGTAAATGACGACTGTTCATAAAAATTGTTACCGTCAAACTGTAATTTTTAGAGTGTGAATTATAAAAGATTGGTCATCAATTTTTCAACCTGTGTTTTGTAAAGAATGTAAAATTTAAATGTTTAATTATTGCTTTTCATGATTTGTTCATTACAATTTATGTTTTTCCCTACTTTATTCTTAATATTTCAATTTATTAATTACATCTTAGATTTAGATGGAGTACCAAGTAAGGAAACATTAGGAACAATATATTGTGATGATTGTACTAAATGATTTTGTAATATAATTATAAGTCAAATATTTATTACGGTATAAAATTATCTTCCATATCAATCATCTGTTCTTCTATGTAGCTTGTTTTATTTGTGCATGGCTTCTTAGATTTTGGGATGAAAAGGAATCAAAATATTACAAGGCATAAATTTTTGGGAACAAGAGTTTTTATAGCATGTTATCAGGGATGAAATTGTGTCAGCTTTTCAATCTTCTGCTTGGCATGCCACAATCTGCATGTTTCCAACCTATTTTCTGGTTCAAATTATCATAGACAACCAAATACCCTCGCAATGAAATGTCTGCAAAAGTCAAATTGCTCATAATCAATGAGGAAAAAAAAAATTATCATCCAAGCTCAACAAAAGATTGAAAAGTACAAAATGTCACACAAAAGATTGTAAATTTTGATGATTGCAAAAACCAGAGTGGCGGATCTTGACTAAATTTTTTTTATTAAGCTATTAGTCATGGCTAAAATGATTCAACTAAAATTTACATTAGTTATATATAATTTTATCAAACTTTCAAAATAATATATTAACAAATAAAACATATAAAAGAAAACTAACACAATATTTATTAGAGGTAAAATGATTAATATTGGGAGTGCTTGAAAATCTTATACAAGTGGTAAAAAAAATTTGGGTGACCACTCCATAGAAGATCCGCCATAGCACCCAGAAAATCATAATACTAATGGTATATTATCACACCATTGCATATCACCATTCACCTACTTGCTAGTGTTTCAATTTCTAGCAATTGAAGGTCACAGTTAAAGAAAATGGGGACAGCAACTTTAATAGAAAAGTATAGCTAACTTAGAATATTGTCAAATAAAAGTTGAATTTCCAGTCCTCTTAAATGTTCTTTTGTTTACAAAATAGTAAATGCATCGACATTTATTTCATGTTATCTTTATCAAGTGCTAGTAGTTAAGAGGAAGTTCTTTAAGAGAAAATAGCTAGTAGAAATTAATAAAAGATGAATCAAATCATAAAATAAATTCCAAAACTAAAATAGCCCATGAACTAATCATAATTCTGTAGAAATCTCAACAACACAATATCAAAGATGTTATACCATGGAAAGGGCAAAAAGATTAGAACAAAAAAAAATTATCAGAAAATTGTTAACAGCAAAATTGCATTAAAATAAGCTTTTCAGGTTTTGCTTAAAAGTGATATTACCTCCGAGTATAATTACAGATCCATCATTTACATTACTACCATCAAGAATACCCAAGCACACATGGCCCTTGCTCTGCACCATAGAAATTTATTAGAGACATAAATAAAAAAAAATTAGTGGAAACTAAAAGTTGTATTTGAAAGAGAGGATTACGCTAATGATCAAGTAACCCTCTGGAGGTATCTGAAACAATGTGGACAAAATCAACCACTTGCTTCCAAACCGAAAAGTTAAGGTTTTGAAGTAGTCCTTAACATCTTTGACAGATCTGCATGCATATAATGTTAAATTTAGAACAGTCTGCTCCATTGTGTTTGGTCAAACAGATCCAAGAAAATAATAACGTTTTATTTCAAGAAGAATAAAGAATTACAAAGAAGTAGCTTACTTTATTACCAAGAGGAAGAAAAAATGTACGAAAAAGAAATACCAAGAGGAATGGACCAAGAATTACTAAGAAGGAGATGAACCAACAATTATCAAAAGAAAGAATTACCAAGAAGAAAAAGAACACTAAGAAGCAGCAGAAGAATTACTAAGGAGAAGAAGAAGAGTTGCCAAGAAGGAGAAAAATTACCAAAAGAGAGAATAATGAAGAAAAAGAAGAAAAACCAACATTTATCAAGAGAAAAAAAGACCACCAAGAAAAGAAGAAAAAAAATACCGAGAAGGAAGAAGTAAAAAAAGTTACCAACAAAAAGAATTATCAAGAACTACCAAAAAGAACCAAGAATTACCAAAAGGAAGAAAAATTATTGAGAAGAAAAAGAATTACCAAAAACAAAAAGAACACTAAGAAGGAGAAAAAAATTATGAAAAAGAATTACCAAGAAGAGAAAAAAAAAGTATTACCAAGAAGTAAAATAATTACCAAAACGAAGACAAATACTTATTACGAAGAAAGAATTGACAAGAGAACCATGAAGAAGAATCGCCAAGAGGAAAAAAGAATTTCCAAGAAGAATTAACAAAAAGAAAAAAAAAGAAAAAAGAAGAATTATCAAGAAAAAAAAATTACCAAGAAAAGACAAAGAAGTATTACCAAAAAATAAAAGAAAAAGAATTAAAGAAGAACCAAGAATTACCTAGAGGAAAAAAGAACACAAAGTAAGAAGTAAAAGAAAAAAATGAAGAGAAGAATTACCAATAACTACTAAGGAGAAGAATGGTCATGAAGAATAAGAATATCAAGGAGAAAAAGAATTACTAAGAAAAAGAAAGAAAATTACCATAGAGAACCAAAAATTAATAAGAAAATGAAGAAGAATCAAGAGTTACCAAGAAGAAAAATTACCTAAAAAAAAAAAAAGAACACCAAGAAGAAGAAGAAAAAGAAAATAAATTACCAATAAGAAAGAATTACAAAGAAGAAGCAGAATACCAAGAAGAAACAAGTGTCAAGAATTATCTCAAAGATGGAGAAGAAAAATTTCCAAGAAGTAAAGCAAGAAGAGTTACTCAAAAGAAAAAGAATTACGAAGAAGAATCACCAAGAGAAAGAATCACGGATAGAATTAACAAGAAAAAAGAGAGTCACTGAAACGAAGAAGAATACCAAAACAAAGAAAAAAAATACCAAGAAGGAAGAAGTAAAAAAAGTTATCAACATAAAGAATTATCAAGAACTACCAAGAATTACCAAGAGGAAGAAAAATTATTGAGAAGAAGAATTACCAAAAAGAAAAAAAACACTAAGAAGAAGGAGAAAAAAAATTATGAAAAAGAATTTCGAAGAAGTAAACTAATTACCATAAAGAAGACAAATACTTATTAAGAAGAAAGAATTAAAGAAGAACCAAGAATTACCTAGAGGGAAAAAGAACACTAAGAAGAACACAAAGTAAGAAGTTAAAAGAAAAACCAAGAGAAGAATTACCAATAACTACTAAGGAGAAAATAAGAATATCAAGGAGAAAAAGAATTACTAAGAAAAAGAAAGAAAATTACCATAGAGAACCAAAAATTAATAAGAAAACGAAGAAGAATCAAGAGTTTCCAAGAAGATAAATTACCCAAAAGGAAAAAAAAAGAACACCAAGAAGAAGAAGAAAAAGAAAATAAATTACCAATAAGAAAGAATTACAAAGAAGAAGCAGAATACCAAGAAGAAACAAGTGTCAAGAATTATCTCAAAGATGGAGAAGAAAAATAACCAAAAGGTAAAGCAAGAAGAATTACTCAAAAGAAAACGAAAAAGAATTATCAAGAAGAAAAAGAATCACCAAGAGAAAGAATCACGAATAGAATTAACAAGAAAAAAAAAAGAGTAACTGAAACGAAGAAGAATACCAAAACAAAGAAAAAATTACTAAGAAGCAGAATTACCATTTAGAAGAATAACCAAGAAGAAAAAAGAATTACTAAGAAAAAGAGTAATTAGGAAAAAAAGGAAGAAGTACCAAGAGTTACCAAGAAGAACTATAATAAAAAATAAGAAATAATTACTAAAAAGAAGAAGAATTACCAAGAAGGAAAAAAATACAAAAATTATAAGAAAAAGGAGGAGAATTAGCTTTGAAAAAAATCTTAGCTTGAGCAAAACTGCTTACTTGATTGGGAAATTAGCTTGCCAGCAAATGGGTAAAGTAGTATCTGAATCATCTTGAACCAGTCCCAACGCAGAAACTTCATTAAGCTGCGCCAATACATACATAATGAGTTACTTTGAGGGCTTCACTGCCATACTCAAGAAGAATGTACAAAATTGTTTCAGATGGATAAATGTAAAAGCTCACAGAAGCAACAAGATCCGAGTAAGCCTCTTTTGTAAAATAAGTATAAGAACTGCCACTATCAAAAACCACTTTTCCTACTTTGCTTTGGCCATCAAATCTGAGTGGTTGATTTCCATAATTAATTCCAAGAATCTCAGTTTGGTATAAATCTCTGCATAGAGTAGTGCATATGTCACAGATAAGTTAAAGAAGGATCAGAACAAACCTCAAAATAACAAACAGCAGGTGCTCCAAACAGAATGATGAGAAATGAAGATGCAAATAGTACATGGCATGTCAGAGAAAAAAGTAGATACATAAAAAACATTAAAAAAATAGATTTTTAATTGAAAGTAATAAAAAACACGAAAAATGGCAATAAATTTTGACATTCTCTTGTGAAAGTTATATTTCAATATCCCAAAATGAAAAACAAACTCACTTCATAATAGGGAATGAAACAATTCTTAAGAAAATCATACTCACGTAGTGTGGGTATTGGGCATGGGAACCCAAGTCATACCGCAATATGGCACAAAATCATCACCCAAGAACATGTATCCACCACCAACTCCATCACTGCTAAGGCAATGACCAACCACATTCCTAATTAGTCCTTTACTAGCCAACTGGTAAGGTAGGCCCACTTTTGCTCTTCCCAGTCCCATGATTCCATCAGTTTTTGCCAATGTGTTCAAAAGTAAGCCTTCTTGATCATATCCACACCTTCAAACAAAAATATTGCATAAAATGGATAAGCACTTTCTTAGAATACATTGGCTTGAAGAAAAAGGCAGAGCTGTAGAAAGAGGATTCATACCCAAAAACAAAATTTAGCTTTGTTTTGGATCCATTGGTAGTTATAAGATTAAGCTCGTCTCTAATAAGAACCCCCAAGGAAGAACTATGGTCAGCATACTGAATTTCATAGTCACACTGTTGCAAATTATCATGATATCCATTCTTCTGATTTTCTTTAACATCCAAGCAAAGAGAATCCATAAATGGCACTACATTGGACCTTGTTGGCTTGTACAGGACATGTGCTCCCTGTATAAATTATATCCTTTGATTAAACACGGGTTCTTCATTTTAAAAAATCCACTCACGACAAATTTTCATAAACAAATAGACTATAGTAAACTTATATCTATAGTGCATCATTCTTTGAGGCATTTTCTAACCTTCAGCTTACTTTTACACAGTTACACATGTTAAACAAAGGGGACAACCTGCTGCTATAAAGCTCCAGCCATGCACTGGATCACATGGAGACAACTCCAACCATTGTGCCCTGTGCAACCCTTTAAAAATCCTCATGCATTTAACTGAGGTGAATTAATAAATATAAAAACAATTCAAATTACCTTCCCACAACTTCTGCATGGAGCATCACATTGGATCCAAGTTAAGTCACTCCCAGTATCGACATCAAGAAAATACCTTTTTGGAGGATTTCCAACATGCAAAATTGTAAAATACAACCTGCATGGAAGAACATGTTGCTAAGCAAAAGCCAGTCATAATGATACAATACGGGAAATGAAATAACTAAAATTTAGAAGTTCCTAGTTTATCATATAATTGGACTTGGTGAATCTTTGAAGCATATTTGTCATGAACCCTTCAACAACCAGATTACTCACACGACACAGAAATGCACAACAAATAGATAACAAAAGCATTATTTGCTAAATACACTGGTTTTAAATTGCATTACAGACTTACACTCATGGAGTAATTACAGAACTAGTGGATCATTGACAAAAAATGTTACCGAAATTAGGACTCAATCAAAACTTCTACATCAATTATTAAAGCATCAAACCAAAAGGAGAAGTTTAAACTTTCTAACTTTTTTTCTTTTTCCACTGTTGAACAACACATTTTACTTCTAAACCCAACAATCAAATCAGAAAAAGCAATAATTTTGAACATACCCATCAGGATACACGTTGCCACTGACTGGGAAAACCGAAGATGAATCAACGGCAATGACCCCAGAACCAACACCAACTTTCCTTTGGGTCACAAAGTTAACTTTTTGAGCATCAACAATCTTACCCATTTTGAGTTTCACATCCTTCTGCCCCAAAATACCAAATTTGGGAAACAAGGGGAAGAGAAAGGAACTGGACTTGTCATCATCGTTCTTGGGACCACGTAGTTCTTGAGTAATAGTTGAAGAAACAGAACCATAAATAAAAAGAGCAAAGAGAAGAACACCAAAAAAAGAAAATAGCTTGATTGGGGTGCCATGAAAGAATCTTCTGAACGAAAACCCAAGCTGAGGATTTGATGGGTGGGATTGAAGTGGAAGATTACTGTTCTGAACATTGGGATGAGTTTGATGTTGATGGGGTTGCAGAGAAGGTTGAGATGGAAGAGAAGAAGGATCAGAGAAAGTAAAAGCAGTGATTGTTTTACCCAAAGAAGGGCTATCAGAGGGTGGAAGAGAGATTATAACAACGCCTTTGATTTGAGGTGATTGATCAGCTTCCATCTCTATATTATTAAGCAATCAAAGAAAAAGAATATGAGAAATGGAAGAAGAGAACAGTAAAAATGAATGAACGAAGAGTGTGCTTCATGTTTACCAGTTAGTCTACTGGCCATAGAGAAGACTCAGTCAACAGGATTAGGATAATACAATGTGAGCGGGAGAAAACGTGTGCAATAGAACATTGCGAAGGTTCCAAGCATAAGCCATGTTTGAAAAAATGTTAAGGGATTGTTGAACTTATTTTAATTTTACAGTAAATTGTTTATGTTTTTTATTCAGATAGTATTATTTATCTTTTTTACAATTTTTTTAATTTAATTGTCATAAAATTTGAAAAGTTTAATTGATTTAGTTTTCTATTCCATCTTTAAATTGTTGGACCGATCAGAGCATGAGAAGAGTTTTGTGTTTTTTAACTCCTTAGTTAATATTTTAAAAATATCTTCTTAATGTATGATAAGAAGTTTAATGTTTAAAAAAATTTAATGTATGATAATTATAATTTTTATTTAAAATTATAAATTTATATAATTCAATGTATTGATTTTATTAAATATTAAAAAATGAATAAATTATTATTCATTAATATATTATATATAATACTATACAGATTAGAAAATTATTACACTTATTTTGGCTTATAAAGAATAAAAAAAATATTCAACAGTTCCTTAATATTATTAAAAAATTCACTCAGTCCCATTATTTTATTAGGTTTTAAGTCGAGTAAAGATTTTTTTTTTTTCCAAAGATCAACAACAATGGGTATTTGTACACAAAAATTGGCTGAAAGGAGGCATTGGGGCAAATGTTTTTGGCCTCTTTTTTTTTCTCAGGACATCAATTATATATATAAGTTCAATAAAACTATATAATTAAGTTATAATTTGAATAAAGTTTTACAAAAATACTTGTAGCAGAAATAAATAAATAAATAAATATTTTTTTATAAATTAAAATCAACTTATACATCTTATATTTTGAAAAAGTTAATTTAATTTTTTAAAAAGAATTAAAGAGGATAAATTAATTTTACCTTATAAAATAAATTTTTTCTTTGCATAAAATTTTTCAAAATAAGCTTAAATTTTATATTGAATTTAAATACGCTGAAAAGTTATTATTTTTATAAGTAATAATTAAAAAATATATTTTTTAAACAGACTCCTCAACTTATTATAACTATTTCTTCTAAAAAATAAAATAGGTACTTTATTTCATGAAAAAAAATACTTGTCATCGTTTGAAAATAAGTCTAGTGTTAAATTAATTATTGTTTTAAAAGATAACTTATGGCGTATTTTAACTAGCATACATAGATTTGTATCTCACAAATGACAATTATAAAACATATATCCGAGAGATATTTTGTTTTGCAGGTAGAAAATTTTATCTCTTAAAATATGTTAAAATTTATCATGCGCATTTACTCTCTATAAATTAATTGACATAAAAAGTAACTGAGAGAATTATAATTTAAAAAAAAAAATTTTCATTTAGTTTTTTTTATATTTTAAATATTTTTATGTTTATCATTGAGCTTGTAGTATAAAAATGATTGAGGTTTGAAAGGGTACTTGATGTTGACCTTACTTTTTGTTTCTAAAAGAGGGTGTTTAGTAATTACAAAATGGTTCAATTTTGAATGGGTTTGTTTCATAGATGGTATATTAAAGAATAGTTGGAGATTTAGTTTGTTAAAAGTAAGAAGAAATAAAAATTAGAGGTCGGTGATGAAAAAGAGGAAATTCATGGTCATAAAAGAAAGAAAAATGAAGGTGCAAAGAGGAAAATTATTGTCTTTCTTATATATAATATATTTGACCACAGATTAAGGTATTCTAAGGGTATCTTGTCCACGTACAATGTTTTTGTTAAGTACAAAGTTAAAATTAACTAACATGAAAAAATAATGATTAAAAACGGATAACAAGACAATAACTAACGTAATCTTTCGTCACGAAATAAAATATATATATATAAGATGATAGGTTTAGAGTTCATGACATAGACTTAGTGCTAACTAATAATTTTATTTTAAATAAAAAGCCGGCCTTAATTAAGCGGAAAAAAAAAACTACTAGTGAACTTAATTATAAAGGAAGAAATATAGGGTCATTTAATTTCAGAAAATATTTTCAATTTTATATTATTTTAAATTAGAAAACTCTACCTTATATCTTTTATTGTTTTTAATTTTCAAACTTTGCTATAAAAATAGTGAAAAAAATATTTTTTCTTCAAACCCTTAAAAATAAGAATAGAAAATTAAAATAATAGTTTTATAAATAAAAGTAAAAACATAACATAAAAATAGAAAATATTTCCTAAAACCAAATGACCTTTTAAATTCCAAACTAAAATACAGTACAATAACAAATACTTAGTGCCAATTATTAAAATGATCATACACCAACGAGGCACTTTAATTTCTTTCTCTTATGATATTAAAAGGCTAAATTAAGCTCATTCATCACCAGGGTTTCATGAATTAAACGATAAGTTGGAATCATAAGCAAATGCCTTGCTCTTGGAGTTGATAGGCCAGGTTTCTCACTCATATCCAATTCATGAGGATCCATGCCATAAGGTAGCTCCCAGTTGAAACAATGCACCAATTGAGCTAAAACAAATTTTACCATGGTCAACCCCATTACCATTCCAGGACAACTTCTACGACCAGACCCAAAAGGTAAAAGTTGAAATTCATGTCCCTTAAAATCTATATTGCTATTGATGAATCTTTCTGGATAAAACACTTCAGCATTATGTGACCATACTTTAGTATCACGCCCTATAGCCCATGCATTTATTATAATTCGAGACTTTTTTTTAATGTAATAACCTTCAATCACTATATCTTCCATTGATTCATGAGGGGCTAGCAATGGTACAACTGGGTGTAATCTTAGGGTCTCCTTCACAACCATATCCAAATAACTTAATTTTGACAAATCAATCTCCTCCACCATGTTGTTTATTCCAACTACATGTTTTAGCTCATTTTGAAGATTTACCATCACCCTTGGGTGTCGCACAAGTTCTGAAATTGCCCATTCAATTACAGCATTGGATGTTTCTATTGCACCAATTATCATATCAAACACAATACCCTTAATGCTCCTCCTATCAATTATACGTGCGTGTTCCTCGTGGGGATGAATTGCTTGGTCCTTTAAGAAAAGCAACGTGTCAATAAAATCCTTGAGGTGCCCTTGTGCTTTAGGAGCTAGTTGATGTTCATCAATCATTTCATCTAGCATTTTGTCCAGTGCTTTGTTGATTTTCTTCAAGCGTCGTGTTAATCCCTATAAATTAGGGGCCGCCAAGACCAAAACAAAATGCATAATTAATTATTGTAATAAATATTATAAACTGGATATATTAATCGTTTTTTAGTTTCATCTTTCTTTGATAAAAATTTTAGAGTAGATTTTGAAAAAAAAAAAATTCTTTAAAGTTATTCTATGTGCATCCATATGGCCAACTTTTTGTTAGTATAATCATCCATGTTATTGTTTTGAACGTATTTACTTCATTAGGTGATATTGCCTTTATAAAACGAGACAACAAAATTATTTCATAAAGTTTTATAAAAGTACCCTTTTGTAAAGATAAGGATATTGTTAATTAAACTTATAGTTGTTAACATTTGTCTAAATTAAATTAGGTGATGAAATTTTATTTTGATGTTTGATTCTAGTTTTGATCAATTTGGATTGTGAAGTTGAGCGATCTGAAGCCAACGTGATAATATATCATTTGTTTCTTAGAACACTAACCTGAAGATCAAACACTGCAAGCCAAGGCACATAATCTGCCAAATTGAAAGTACCCGAAAGGCTCATAGTCTCAAGAAGAATGCCCTTCAAATCAAACCTATCATCCTTGTTCCTTCCCAATATCATCTTGCATGCAACATCTTGCAAAAGTTCCCCCACCTTCTCACTAAGGTCCACAATCTCACGCGCCTCTGCTACTTCCATCAGTGACTTAACCATTGCTTCCACTTCCCTCTTTCTCAACGGTGCAAAGGACTCAACTTTTGACACACTAAGAAGATGGGTAGTGCACACTTTCCTAACGTTGCGCCAATATGCACCATACTCAGCAAAGGCCACGCTTTCTGGGCCGTACGTATATTGAGCCGCTTCAAACTTGGGCCTATTGGCAAAGACTGTATCATGTGTCCTTAGGAATAGCTCTGCGGCTTGTGGGGTGGAAACCACAATGGTTGGAACATTTCCTAGTTTTAGGGACATTATGGGACCGTAACGTTTTGCAAGTGATTGGAGGGAACGGTGAGGGAGGGTACCTAGCATGTGGAGGTTTCCTATGATTGGTAAGCGTGGCGGTCCTGGCGGACAAGGTGGTTGTTTTGGCCGTGACATGGTGGTGCATAGGATGTATATTAACGTGACAATGGGGACTATGAGAATCCATATAGGGAACATGTTGTGGTGAATTGGTCTTAGTTTGTTGGAACTTGGGAAGGAGAATGAAATGACAAGGTGAAGTGTGTGTTACCTCTTTTGTAGATGGGAAAGAGGATTGGTTGTATTTATATGAATTTAGATCATTGTGACATGTAACATAACATGATCGATCATATTATAATAGGGTACTTATTCAATAAAGATTTTTTGAAATGATAGTTTATGTCATAAATTTAACTATAAAAAAATATTAAGATGAGTTAAAAAAAAACTTATTTTAATTAGTTACACCAAAACACTTATTATAATAAGCTAAAAAGAATTTATAAAACTTATAAATTATTCATAAACTCTTCCAAATATAGCGTTAAAGAAGATAAATTTTATTAATAAGTATTTGTCATGTTTGATTTTAGAATTTAATAAATAAATTTGACTCTCCTCTTTTTTAAATGACGGTATTATGTAACTCAATAACATTGAAGTAGTCCAAATCTCTTATTTTGTTGTTTGAATCCTTAGATATATATTTAGCACAGTTGAAGAGCACATGAAAAGGACTAGTGTTACTTTGCAATTTGGGACGATCCTCCATTAGATAACTACTAATTGTTTTGTTATGATCATTTTGACGCTTGTGGACTTTTACATGTGAAGTCGGATCACGAATCTTGGTGACATCCAAGAAAAATCCTCCAAGGATTTGATTCGAATCTATATGACTGCCAAAGAAAGTGGTGTTAATTAAAATTAGGGGTGAGCAGCCACCAGGTCGTTGTTATGAATTTGGACAAAGATCATTGAAGATGAAGATTATCAAACCGAATCGTTGAAAAATGACACATGTTAAAAATGGAAATAATGTATGGTTGTTTTATTGTCTTGTAAGAATTAAGAATTACTTTATGTCTTTGATGGTAAGAATAATGATGTTTTGGGAAATCTTGTGACGTCAATTGTATCTCATTTTTTGTTTCCACTTATGAATGGCATCATGATTAATTTCATTTTGTACTTTCAATTGTGGGGATCAAATTGTTTTTCATTTGTCAAGATACATTATTTTTCATGATGTCGGTTTGTTCTATGCCGTGATCTCCCATCAGAGTGAGTTTGTATATTCTGTTGTTTCTTTCCCATGATTCGTTTGAGTGCTAATAGTATATTATGTTAGGAATTAGCGATGGAAGCTTAAATGTAAACTAATTATAGATATTTTCGATAACATCTGTTCAATAATTCTCTTAATCTTTAAATAAAGAAATATTAATATATTTTTCATGTTTTAAATATATTTATATTTTTATTTAATACTTTTTTATAAAGTATTTAGAAAATTGTTAATAATATACTGTTTAGAGATATATAACATGGCTCTTCTATGTATTGCACTGAAAAAAAATGCCACATTGAAAGTTTGGAACATTCGATTATAAAAGTAAAATAAATTCACATACAGTATAGGTAAAATGAATTACAAGGACTAATAATACTAAAAGGGAAAACATTAACCTGATGCTACATGGGTTAAGTAAACCTTGCTTTAGCTACGAACCAAATCCATTTGAGTTTATTCCTCTCTAACTTTACCAACTAGCCGATAAGACGGCACAGCCTGCAAGTGCTTACTTCTTGGCATTGTGAGGCCAAATTTTTCATTCATGTCCAAGTCATCAGGGGACATGCCCAATGGAAGCTCCCAATTGAAACAATGCACCAATTGAGCTAAAACGATCTTAACAGTAGTAAGACCCAAATGAATCCCAGGGCACCCTCTACGACCTGAACCAAATGGTATGAGTCTAAAATCATGTCCACGCATGTCCACATTGCTATTGGCAAATCTTTCTGGATAAAATTCCTCAGCATTATTTGTCCATACTTTAGGATCTCTACCTATAGCCCATGCATTTATTATGACCCTTGATTTTTTCTTTATGTAATAACCTTCAATTGTAACATCTTCTCTAGACTCACGAGGCACTAGCAGAGGTGCAACAGGGTATAATCGTAGTGTTTCCTTCACCACTATATCCAAGTAAGGCAACTTCTCCAAATCATCCTCCTCGACCTGTCTATTCAACCCCACTACATTTTCTAACTCATCTTGAAGTTTCTTCATCACCCTTTGATTCTTTAAGAGTGCTGACATAGCCCACTCCACCACAGTAGTAGATGTGTCAATTGCTGCAATGATCATAGTCATGACAATTGCCTTGATGTTAGTTCTATCAATAACATGACCTTGTTCATCCTGAGGGTCCAGCGGTTGATCCTTAAGCGCTAGCAATATGTCCATGAAGTCCTTTTGGCGTTGGCCATTCTGTTCATTACCAGAAGATTGTTCGTGGTCTTTGATAATCTGCTCCATGACTTGATCAAATGAATTGCTTACCTTTTTTAATCGTCTGGCAAGTCCCTGATGCAGCAGTGATTCAATAGCATACAATCATAGATAATAAACCATGGAGTGAATAAGAAAAAGGAAAGTCTCATCCCAAAAGAAAAACTAGTAATGTAACTTGTACAAAAGGGATCAAATTGAAAAGTTTAGACTAACGGATAATTTAATTCCACTTTAAAACTAACAATAAAATCTAAACTGATAAAGATCGTTTGCAACTTATCCAGCATGAATATGTGATCAGGGTCAAAAGTAATTCATAGAGGATATGCCAAGTTTTTACGGCAAAACTTAGTGCAATACCTTAGATGTTTTTAGTGTTGTTATTTGATCAAATTGAAGCTTTATCTCGATAACTTGTGTAATAAAGGCTGGCACTGACTACTGAGATAAAGACTTCAATTTTATTTCAAGAACAATACTAAAAGTACTTTAAATTCTGCAATTAAGTTCTGCACAGTGTTTAGTATATGTTGTTGAATTTCATACCTGAATATCAAACATGCCTAGCCAGGGCACATAATCTGCAATATTGAAAGCTCCAGCCAAGTTCAGTACTTCACGAACAAGGTTCTTTACATTGAATCTGTCATCCTTACTGCGGCCAAATATCATTTTATATGTGATATTCTCAATAAGATCCAGTACCAACTCGCTGAGGTCCACAATCTCACGCGAGCCTGCTGTTTTATCGATAAACTTAACCAATCCTCCCAACTCCTCCCTCCTCAAAGGAGAAAACATCTCAACTTTTGATGCAATCAGAAGTTGTAATGTGCATAATTTCCTCATGTTGCGCCAGTAGGCACCATACTCAGAAAACACCAAGCCTTTGCTGCCATAAGATATATACTTCGATGATTGAGTTTTAGGTCTGCTAGCAAAAACAATGTCATGGGTCTTGAGGAATAGCTCGGCAGTTTCAGGGGAGGAAATCACAATGGCTGTGACATGTCCTAGCTTTAAGGACATTAGGGGTCCATATTTTGTGGCAAGGGCTTGAAGGTTGCGGTGTGGGAGTTTCCCAAGCATGTGGAGGTTACCAATAATTGGCAAGGCCTTGGGACCTGGTGGATTTTTACCACCATCTTGGCGATGTTTTGAGTGCAACACAGCAGCAGATAGAATAAATATGAATATCACAAGGAGGGCTGCAGGGATTGCTAATGTTTCAGGTAACATTTCTGATTCTTGGCTTGATTATCAATAGGGAATTTTTTTTATGATCTTAAGTTAGCCATGGCCTTGGCATGACACAATTTCCTGGTATAAAAGTAAAGAGAGTTGGGTGATTACGGAGTGGAAGGTGGCTTAAAACATTGCAACAAAAATAATCATGCTTTGTCCCAAACAAGATTGTAGGAGTAAATTGCTGATTTTAGAAAAATTTATCTTAATTAATGATAGATGCAGATTTCTTTTCCCTCGTAAAAAAAAACCACATGTATTTTTTTAAAAAAATTTCAAGATATTCAAGCCTTACGTAGCAATAGATATCCTCAACCAACGACAGAAACACCACCACTAACATGGTGGCATCACGCAAAACAAAGTAAAAATAATAAGTTAAGCAAAAATTAGAAGGACAATGCCAACTTTTGACTATTGTGAGAGATAATGAATGAAATAAATAGAAAAAGTGACAGAAAAGCCGCTAATCAAATTCTAATTAACAGAATGAACATGGTAGAAGTAAAACTCCGTGCTAACTTTCACATCTCCTAATAAAATGATCAATACAGCCAACCAAGATGTGCAGCAAAGAAACAACTTCTAGAATCTAGATTAGAGTGACTTCACAGAATCTCCAGAGATTATTTTATTTTTCATAAAGTAAAAGTTTAATAAAATACTGTAACCAATAAAATCTTAAGCCATTGGATTATGACTATTCTTGTAGCTTCGGACTTCAATAACCTAAAAAATAAGATAAAAGAGCAAACTTTTTAGGCAATAATATGGAGTAGGGAGAGTAAGTACCCATATCATCGAAAAATTCAAACAAAAGGTTGCTGGACACAGGGTGCTTCGGAACTTTGTCACAGACTACAAAACATAGATGAGCAAAATTAAGTAAACAATTCAAAGTGAAACAAAACAAAGCAAAGTAGAAAGTAGCTTTGGAACAGAAGAAGTGAGATTTGAAGTGACGTTTATGGTGGAAAGTTATTAAAATAATATTATTTTAATAATTAGTTTTTAAAAAAATATTACAAAATACAAAAGCCGGAAAGTGGAAACTGAAGGATTGGCTTGACCTTTCAGACAGGTTATGGGAGACAAACTTCAGAGGTTTCACTTCTGTCATTTTCCGACTACTCCCAATTTTTTTTTTAATTTTTATCTTTATTTAATTTTTAAATACTTTACATACATATCATAAATAAAAATAATGCCAGAACAATTAATATAAATCCAGTAAAAAATAATTATTAAAACATACAAAATATTTTAATATGCATTATTTCTTTTGCGTGTTCTGTACACTGTCTACCATCTTCTAGGATTCCACCTCTTCTTTTTTCCATTCAATTTTGTCATTTTTTGTTTCTTCCAACCGTCTCTGTGACGGGAAAACGACGCCATTGGAATAACATTTCTTCGTTTTGAAAAGAAAACAGATGTTAAAGTGTATTGATAATCAATGGTTTAAAAAATTAATTAAAAATAATAATTTTATTAAGAATTATATTAAAATTACACATATATACATTTCTTTTTGTTGATTTTTTCTTCCTAAGTCACTTTTTTCCACCGAAACACTCGATGAGATTAAGGAGACTAAGGTGCAAGTCAACTTGTACCCACACCTTTTCATGAGTCCTCGACAATGACCTAATTTAAATTTTAAAATTAGGTACTCATGCTTTTTAAATTTTAAAGTTAAAGAATCAAGTTGAAATAATAATAATAATAATTAAGGGACTACAATATTAATTTAGCTTAAACTAAAATTATGTATGCTTTTTATATAAGTTTAGTGACAATAATAATTAGTTTTTGGCATTGCAAATGTTTTGATTATGAAGGAAAGTGACAAATTAAAGATAAGGAAGTAAATTAAAATAAAATAAAATAGTTAAACGACTAAAATATTAATTTAACTTAAAATAAAATTATGTATTATTTTTTATATAAATTTAATGATAATAAATTATTGATTAAATAAATAGAAGAGAAAAAAATGATAAAATGATACAATATGATAAGAAGAGAAAAAATATATCAAATAGGTGTTAACATTGTTTGAGTATTTAAAAATTAAATTTGTTGGATCAAAAGCTTCTTATTTTGAGACATACAAGAAATTAAATATCATAGATATACTCACTAATAAGTAACAAAGAAATCATATAGGTTAAATATTACATTCAACTTAAAATCTCATGATTTTTAATTTTTGGACATATTTTTATTAAATGTGAGATTTTTTTTATTTACACTTACTATTTTAATAGTCCTTTTCTCCTCATACTTTTCCTTCAACGAAAGAATTTTAACATCTATCACAAGCATTCATGGTGGCACAAGACTCACTGATACTCTTCTCAATTTATATTACCATTAACTACGTCAACAAGACAACAACACATGCTACCTAATTAATTGCTATGACGTCTCAAGAGTCTCAAATACTATTATTAAGACATAAAGAAGAGAGAGCTTATGTATTATAAAAATCTCTGTCAATGATGAGATACAAATAAATCATATAAGCAAAATTAATACCACATATAATCCAAAACTTTTAAACATTGTGTTTATATCCTTGAAATTTATTTTATGTCCAATTTTGTCATTTTTATCTAATATAAAACTTATTCACTCACACTTCTTATACAACCAAATCAAGCACTATATCAAACTTTTTTTTTTCTAAACAGCAAGGCTAATAGCCCTAAAAAATAAAACAGACTAGAGAAAGGCCTTATCAGACTAGCTTCCACAAGTGTCTAAACAACGAACAAGGAGCAATATCAAAATAAGATAAAGGTAAAGAATCTTCAAAATCTAGTTTGACTAATCTGTCGACACAAAAGTTAACTTCTCTCAAAATATAGATAAATCTAATTGGTTTGAGAAGGTCCTTAGTATTAGTAATTAATCTAATTAGAGGGTAATTAGGATGTTGAACATACAACATTAGAGATAAGGTCTCTTTAGAATAACTTTTCACCCATATAGAATGAATATTTTTCAAAGAAGCTAATTGAAAACTCAAAAATAGACTCCAAAGTTCAGCAACAAGAAGGATACATCTATTTAATTTGTTGCAGAAATTATATATAAATTTACTATTGCTGTCACGAATCACTCTTTCACAATCAATACGATCATAATATAAAGAAACAGTCCCATCCACATTGAGCTTCAAGTGGCCAGAAGAGGAAAGAATCCATTTAACACACACTTGATCTTTAGCAACTCTAGGCAAAGGCTTGATTACTCCCCTGTCACAGTTCAACCAAAAATCAAAATCACACAATTTTATAACAACCACTCTTGCATTTATTTCAATGATGGAAATGGGTCTTGATTTGTAGCTTATGAACTGAGTGGTTACTTTTTTGGGCCATTTGCTTGGGAATAATCAATGGCTTGGGGTTCATGACCCATGATTTAATCGATGCTTTATGATATTTTAATAAATAAGCTTTTAATAACAATTCCACAAATGCTATTTAATAAACAGTGGTTCTTTAAGTAATGTTTATGGTTTTAATAAATAGCCTTTTAATCAATGACTAAAAACTTTTGTCTTAAAAGATATAAAGTAAAAATTACTTCGTATATAATTATGGAGAAAATTTATATCCTATTCTTTAGGTACTGTTTGGGATGCTTATTAATTAAAATTATATTTTATATTAATAAAATATTTATATTTAATAATATTATAAATTATCAAGATAAAACATCAATTTTGGTTGAAAAACAACACTTAAAAGCCATACTGTACTTAATTTTGTCATTTTATTAATCTTAACTCTTAAAATTAAGTTTAAACATGTAAAAGTAATAATATAATAAATAATTTTTAAAATATATTATTATTATCAAATGAGGTTGACATTTTCATTTTAAAAATTATGAGATTTATAAGTGGAATGAACTCTGTTTGTCCGGGTGAGAACAAAAAAATAAAGTTCTTTTTCTCAAATTAAATTATTCCCTGCCTAACCTCTCTTTTTGGCTTGATCATCTGGTGCAAAATTCCAACTCCACCGCTGCTATTAATTGAATAAGTTCTTCCATCAATTATAAAAAAAATGAATCGGCGATGTTATAATTGACCGATGAACTCATTCAATTAATATTCAATAGCGTTGAGAAGGTACAATAAGTGGTGGGGTTGGTATCATTCATTACAATATCATTATATATTAAACTTTTTTATATCTTTTTAATAAATTCAATTAATATTCGGTCTTTTATAGACATATTTTGTTAATAAAATATTATTATAAACTTAATATAGAATCAGAGCTTGTGGTGGTGCATTCAAACTATATGGATTATGTTGCGGCTCTATAATTTAGGCTTCGAAGTAATTTAAGTTGACCGTACCACGCATATATAGTGAACTAGATAAGCTTGATTTATATTGACACATTATCTAGGATGATCAATATTACGAGCATATTATAAATGACTAATCTCTCAGGTCTGAAAAAATTGGAGACAAAACATTCTACAAAGATAACTTGGTCCACTTAAATTATAGATTCGAAACTATTAATCAAGCTTTATTGAATAGGCGACAAGTTGGTATAGCCAACAAGTGCTTACTTCTTGGAATTGAAAGGCCAAATTCCTCAGTCATGTCTAAGTCCTCTGGAGACATGTTCAATGGAAGTTCCCAATTAAAGCAATGCACTAATTGAGCTAGAACAAGACCAACAGTAGTTAAACCCAATTGTATCCCAGGACATCCTCTACGACCTGAACCAAATGGTATGAGTTTAAAGTCTTGTCCTCTAATGTCTATATTGCTATTAACAAATCTCTCTGGATAAAACATTTCGGCATTATTTGACCATACTTTAGGATCTCGTCCTATTGCCCATGCATTGATCAAAATTCTTGTCTTTTTCTTTATGTGATAACCATTAATAGTGATATCTTCTAGGGACTCACGAGGCACTAGCAAAGGTCCAACAGGATACAACCTTAATGTCTCTTTCACTACCATATTCAAATAAGGCAATTTTGCCAAGTCTGACTCCTCTACTTGCCTTTTTATCCCTACCACATTATTTAACTCATCTTGAAGCTTCTTCATGACCCTTTCGTGCCTTAAGAGTTCTGACATAGCCCATTCAATTGCAGTGGTAGATGTGTCAAATGCTCCTCCAATCATATCCAATATAATAGCCTTGATATTAGTTCTGTCAATCACATGTTTCTGCTCATATTGATCCATGTTTTGGTGCATAAGTGACAGCAGTATGTCCACAAAGTCCTTGTAATGCACATTATTTTTCATGCTATTAGAAGCTTCCTCATGATCTTTGATGATCTGCTCAAACACTTGATCGAATGCCTCACTTGTTTTCTTGAATTTTCTTTTTAGTCCCTGATATAGATTATGAAATTGATTAAGTAGCATACAAATATTTTATTATAAGAATCGTAATCAAGTTTGCCGCAGCTCAGTATTATTAATTACTATTTCCAAAGCATACAAAAGTTTACTAATGTATAATCCAATTAAAACCCATTACAAAAGCATAATCAAATTTAAACATCGCAAGGTCACAAGACAAAAATGCAGCCTGATTATATTTTAGATTTTGTTAACATTTGTTCTCAAGGCTTAGTCTAAACTATGAAAGTAGTAAATTTTAGTTAAAAAAATTATTTATTTGGCTATAAATACAATAGTGTATATATATATATATATAATAAAAATTTTACTATTATAAATAAGAAAATCCTATATTCAAACATTATTTCAAAAATCTTAAATAATTAACTTAAAATATATTTATAGATTTCTCAATATTATTGCAGATGATATTGTTAAAATGAATTTGAGAGCTTATTTAACTTATAGAATTTTAGAATATTTTCTTCTGTCCCTGGATAAGACAGTTTAACTGTTTTTTTTTTTTTTTATGCAATTGATTTTCTGTTTCTACTAAAATAATTACCATCATATAAGGGTTTATTTTTTGTATCACATCATGTGTTCCACTTATGAACGTAGTTAAGATTCATACCTGAAGATCAAAGATACCTGCCCAAGGTACATAATCTGCCACGTTGAAAACTCCACTCAAGTGCAAAGCGTCATGAACAAGCCCCTTAAGGTCGAATCTATCATCCTTACTGCGCCCAAGTATCATCTTATAGACAATATTTGATATAACCTCCCCAACTTGCTCACTGATGTTTACAACCTCACGTGAGGATGCTGCTTTTTCAAGTGACTTCACAAGTAGTCCTAACTCTTCCCTCCTCAAAGGAGCAAACATCTCAACTTTTGATGCACTTAAAAGTTGTGTGGTGCACACCTTTCTCAGGTTGCGCCAATATGCACCATACTCAGAAAACACTACCCCTTTAGAGCCATAAGACATGTATTCTGAGGCTTGAGTTTTAGGCCTACTAGCAAAAACAGTGTCATGGGTCTTGAGGAATAGCTCAGCTGTTTCAGGAGAGGAAATCACAACGGTTGGTACTTGTCCTAATTTTAAGGACATGATGGGTCCATATTTTGTGGCAAGGGCTTGAAGGGTGCGATGTGGTAGTTTCCCTAACATGTGTAGGTTACCAATAATTGGCAAGGCCTTAGGACCTGGTGGATTTTTCTTATCATCTTGGCGTTGGTTAGAATACAAGAAGGCAAAGGATATAATGAAAATGGATATCAGAAGGAGTGCTATAGGGATAGCCAATGTTTGAGGTAACATTTCTGATGGTTGGTTGATAGTAAATTGAGAGGGGTTTGGGTATTTATACAATTATGATCTTGAGTTCTTAACCGTGGCTGGCAAGAAATAAATTCAGTTCTTAGTTAGCCATAGTCTTAGTATGGACTCGATGATACTTTTATGACTTGATTCATCAAAAGTTAATAATATTATACTATATGATATTATATATTATTATTTTATTTTTTTGATATACAGTATTTCAGAATAGGTCTTGAATATCTACATTTAATGCGCGCAACAGCTCCATCAACACTGTACTTGCGTTTGTCCAAGATATATATTAAAATATATCGCATCAGCTAAATTTCCAGCTCCCCGAAGTCAGATAGTAGAGCAGACAAAGATCAAACCTTTTATTAATATTTTTTCAGTAACTTTTCTATATTATCACTTGATGAATATTTGGTAGTTGGTACGTGTGAACGGAAACGGATTCCCTCCCGCAACACGAGGATAAGCGAAAATATAAAAATAACTAACATGACTCTCATGGTTGCTGTGAAACATAAAGAAATCTCGATCCAGTGTGAAAATGAAAAATATAAAAACAAAGTGGAATATCAAGCTCCCATGTATATGTCTTATTTTGCTGAGTCGCTGTAAAGAATGGCGATGTTTTTGTTGACTAATATTTGTTTTACCGTTTAAGAAATAAATTAAATTCTTTTTAGTTGCGTCTTAACTTTTCCTACAGGTAAAAAAGTAATAAATCAATGAAAATGTGAACGAGGATTTGACAAAAAAAAAAATGTTAAAAGAGAAAAAAGATGTATGTAGCCTATCAAAATTTTGGTATAAACCTTGTCGTGGTTATATGAAACACTCATCAAATTTACGTTCATTACTATATCCTTCTTAGTCTAGATACCATAAATGAAGCACAAACTAAACTGTTATTATATAAATTAAGTTTTAATTAATAGTATAAGTATAATATACTACAAATAACTTGATGAAATGATATTTTTAATAACTCTTTTATTAAATTTTGTTAATATGATTATGTAATTTAAAGTTCCTATAAATCATATCAATTTTATAAATTTTTACATAATTTAAATATTAGTTAATATGATATATTCTTTAAAATATAAGCAAATAAATATTATTAAATTAGATATTTACAAATTTCTTAATTGTGTAAAATGTTATACACATAATCTTCATGATAAAATTACAAGATTCAACATTTAGGTTAATAAAATTTACTTTTGATTAAAAAAAATATTAATAGTATAATTTTACTAAGTTTGATACATGATATTATTTTATTTTGACACGTGTGTATTAAGAAATTTTTTTTAAAAAAATTAATTATATATTCATGATAAAATTACAAGATTCAACATTTCGGTTAATAAAATTTACTTTTGATAAAAAAAAATATTAGTAGTATCATTTTACTAAGTTTGATACATCATATTATTTTTTTTTGGACCCATGTGTGTATTAAGAAAAAATCTTTTTTAACAATTAATTATATATTTATATATCTCATGTACTCTTTAAGGATATGCTAAAACAAATTTTTTATTTTCTTAGTTTGAGGTAAGTGTAAATTTTTTGTAATTGTTTTATATTATTAAACCATAAAAACATTTGGTATGAGTTAGGAGTTATTTGGTATCAATAATCTTTTTTCATTAATTAGGATTGTGTTTTTGAGGAATCATGATTTCTAGATGTTATAAATGTCTTTGGCATGTTAGAATGATTCTTAAGAATTTTAGACAATATTCTATGAGTATGCCTAAAATTTTTCTACGTTCATAGTAATATTGAATTGTTACCTTTTTTTAATGAGAATATTTTATTAAAATTATTCATAAATGTTAATTTTTATATATTATGTTAAAATTATACCAATTGTGAAAATATAACATTAACTCTCAACATTCGTTATTTTCTTTGAAAGCACAAACGACACAATTCTAGTAACAAACACGTAATGGGAGGGTGAAATTGTGAATAAGTTTGCACACTCGAAGACCAACTTATGCATGATTAAATATCAAATAATACATACATTTTCTAATAAAAATGGTCTTCATTATTTTTTATTAACAATGAAAAGGTAAGATGTAAAAATAATTATAAAATTACATGTAATTATAAATCTTTTATAAGATTATGTGAATCTTATATCTTGAATCTTATATCTAGATTCAATTATATTCAAAAGGTTAAAAAATTATTTGAGTAAATTACACTCATTCATTAAAAAATTATATTTAAGGAATGAATATGAGAAATACTTTAGTAATTTTTTGCTTTAATTACATTTTGCTTTCTATACTTTAATATATGTACATTTTAGTCTCTCTGATTTTAATTGTTTATATTTAGTCTTTTTAATTTTTCAAATGTTCAAATTAAGTTCTTTATTTTAAAATCAATAATTTTATTATATTTTATATTTTTATTTAAATATTTATATATTTTTATTAATTCTGTGTATAAATTAATAAAATATCATATCTTTATCATATTGTTTTTAATTATCGGATAACATTTTGAAATGAATTAGTTAATTTAATTAAATATTTTAAAAATAAAATAGTAAATATAAATAATTAAAATTATAAAAATAAAAATTGTACATACACTAAGGTATAATAATTAAATATTATTTTTAATATAAAATAAACATCTTAATGTTCATAAATAATTATGATTTTGACGTCATCGAATGATATTATATATCTTTCTACAATTTAGTATAATAATAATATTATTATTAGTATTATTATTAAAAAAATCATTTATATTACAATAGAGTCAAGTATAAGATAATTTATTTTTTAAAGAATAAAATTCTATTAAAAAGGTGTGATACAAGCATTTTAAAGGAAAAAAAAAAGTAATTTACTAAAACTATGGCTCAAATATATACAATTATTTTCATGCTTTAGTACATTTTTGAACCCAATTAATGTGCTTCTGAGCTACAGTCAAAACAGGCGGCACAGTGCTATTGTTCTCACCGTAAGCTTTTTAATATCTACATATTTTGCCGATTTACATGTTTTATTTGTATTACACCAGAAATTTGGGTTTTGAAATTAAAAACTTGTTTTTATTGCTGCATTGTTTAAACTTGTAAGTTATGCAATGCAAAGTGTTTCTTAGCTATATTACTGTTTGATTAGCAATAAAATTCTTGTTTACTTGTTCAATTAATTGTGGTGAGAAGATAGAGACGGGTAGGATTGGAATTCCCACCATGTACAAGTTATTAATTTATATATTTTATTATGAAAAATTATTAGATATTTTGTTAAAAAAGACATATCTCCAACATCACCAAAAAACGACTGGTTCAAACTAGACGAAAGAGACTGACACAAAACTATCTTTTAGGGAAAAAAACAAAAATGATATTTTGTTAAACATAAAATAAACTCTTTTGTAAAAAAGATTAAATTAAAATGCAAAAATTAGCCTTACAAAGTGAATAAATAAAGAAAATTCTCCACTCTCTTGCTTGAATAATAGCTCTACACAAGGAGCAACTAAATTTAATTGTAATATGGGTAAATTGGCAAGCAGATTTGTCCAAAGAAAACTAAAATACGAACTAACAAGTATTTGTATATTACACGGGTTCTGAAAACCCACTGAATTAGGAAGTTACATGCAGTGACTCATCACAAATAAGAAAACATCACATTCATCTCTGGCTCCAAGGTTTATTCCAATTGCTACAGATAAGCCCAATGCACACATCATCAATCCATACTAAGAAAAAAAAAGGAGTAAAAGCTTCACGAAGGCAATTTCATAATTTAATTTGAACTTTAAACCTTTAATTAAGCATCACTATGCGATAAGTTGGCATTGCTCGCAATTGCTTATTTCTTGGAATTGCAAGACCAAATTTCTCAGTCATGTCTAAGTCATGTGGAGACATGCCCAATGGAAGCTCCCAATCGAAGCAATGCACTAATTGAGCTAGAACTAGTCTAACAGTAGTTAGACCCCATTGCATCCCAGGACACCTTCTGCGACCTGAACCAAATGGTACAAGTTGGAAGTCACGACCCATAATGTCGATATTGTTATTGATAAATCTTTCTGGATAAAACATCTCAGCATTTGACCAAACTTTAGGGTCTCTCCCAATTGCCCATGCATTGATTAAAATTCTTGACTTTTTCTTTATGTAATACCCATTAATAGTAACATCTTCTAGTGACTCTCGAGGCACTAGCAAGGGTCCAATTGGGTATAACCTTAAGGTCTCTTTCACCACCATATCTAGGTAAGGCAAGTTTGCTAAGTCACCCTCTCCTCGAAACATTTATTTCTCATTTATCAGCAAAATATAATTTTATTAATAAAGAGTAAAGATCAGGGTACTCTAACCTTAGAACAATACATGTTTGTCATCTTAAGATATATAATAACACTCTAAATATAACTGCCTAAACTTTTAGTACATTCAAAAGACTACATATTATTAGGGTATGTAAATGTAAAATAGATCTTCTTATTTTATAATATGTTTTTATTTCTTTCTTCTTTAAAATTTTCAATGTAAAATTTGAATGAATAGTTTACTTTAGTTTAACATAAATTTCAAAATAAAAATGATTTAATATTAAAAGGAGAATCATTAAAAAAATAATCTTAGTATTTGGATTAGCACTTATCTTAAAAAAACTATTGATTTATAAATTAACTTCTTTAAATATATCAGTCAGACAATTATCTTAATTATAAGCCAACAAATTATAAATTATTTTAACGATTGAGGCATACAAGTGATAAATAAAAAGAGCATCGTAATTAAGTTGAATAACGTAAAATTAATTAAAATAACATTAAAAATTGTAAGGATATCAAGTAACAGCAAAACTTTAAGATATGAAAATTAATGGTAGAAAAAAATATTCTTTATCCGTGAATAACCAAATAATTACAACTCCATTTATTTGTAAAGTTAAAAAAAAAAAACTGATTAGAGTTCAAATATTAAATGCTGTAACGTTTTATAATTTATACTACTTTTTCCTTAATGATATTTATTGTATAAAAAATCAACGCTAATCCATTAGCTTGTTATGATTTAATAACACTTATTATATAGTTTTTTAATCTATTAAGAAAAGGAATACTTTTGAGGGAGCCATGCTCACCCTTTGGTTCTAATGAAACTCTGCCACTGTTAATATCCCTTTACATATAAAATACCTTGAAATTTAACTTATTAATAATATACAAACCATTTATTTTTCATTTACTACATTGGTCACCAGGTCCACCAAAGAGAAAAGCTTGCCTATAGTGCTGTCCCTCATAGCCATGATACAACAAATCATAGCAATCCGAGCTAGCATCGTTATGTGACTTCATGTCTTGAGGATTTACATCATTTTCGTTGTAATTTGAATCCACAATTTGAAGTCTTGCAAAGAAACCTGAGTTACGAAATTTGGTCTGTGGCAATTTTCCACTACCCATTGGGGGACTAGTCATGTCAGGGAGTGCATTGGTTTCGCCTCCATATCTAATCAAAGATGATCCTTCACGTAAATGAGTAAATATTTCCTTTGGCCAATACCCAATGTCAAGCCCTGCTACACGTAACCACCAATGTCCTGTTGATTCATCCTACAAATATTTAAATCATAAAGTGCATGAACCGATCATATTCAAGAAAAAGCTTAAATCCATTTGCTATTAGCTCTTTTAATTATTATTAAATAGACGGATTGGACCACAATAACTTTTAGGATATAAATTATAAACAAAAGGTTACTTACACAAAAAAATATTATTAAATATTAAGATAACATTAATTGATATTTAATATAGTTTTTGTTTAACAAAAAATAAATATTAAATAGATGTACTTATATATCAATATTAGTAAAGAAAGATACGTATATACTGAGTGTCATAGGTTGTAACTTTTGGATGTTAATGTAACTGCTTCAAAAAAAATATTAAATAACAATATTTTTGGAAGTCATCGAATTAATAAATATTTTCATTTGTAGAAAAAAAAAGTAAAAATATGTTCAAAATAATTACCTGTTTAACTCTAATAAAAACATCGTATTTGTGCTGTGATCCAATTGTAGACGAAGGTATAAGGGGTGCTCCGAAAGTAATCTTGGGGTGCACTTGCACAAAACCTGGACATATAATATTAACACATCCAGTTTTTCTATAATTATCCACCTGCATGTATATATCTAATTTAGCACAACTACTATTTCAAGTAATTTTAATTTTAAAACTATAAACTTGAGTTTCTTACAGTCCAAAAGCCAGTAATTCGTGGCATGTTGTCGTCATATAAGTCTGGATAAACCTGTTTCGTTAAGCAATTAGTAATGATAGTAAGTAGATTAAAAACAGCAACAAATATATGAGCATAATAAAAAAAATCAATATATATATATATATATTATAACAACGTCATAAAACAAACATGTATTAACTTACGCCAATTCCCACTTGAATAATGTTAGCTTCCGCCGGTGGACCACTCTGAATCCAAATCTGAGACAAGCTATATTGCTTCAGTTCAACTGATAGATTATACACACCAATTGATGCACTTGCTCCACGATACGTCGTATTTTGAGTTGTGTCAAGGGTAACAATCTAAAGAATAATAAAATAACATCGTATATTAAGTAACGGAGACTCCATATTTTAATTTTTATATATATGATTTAAATTTAACATCTCTGTTATATAAATAGTATCAATAGATTCTTATAGAATCAGATTTATGTCCAAGACATGCATAGATAAGATGGCCTTCCGATAATGAGAAGATAAACCAAAGTTTGTTGACCTGCATGACTTAAATTTACTGAATTTAATTACGGGAAATACCATATAATATAAAAAAATTAAACAAATAGATGAAATGGTTAAAATAACAATGTGGTAATTATTCCCAGCCATATTTCTTTTGGAGGTACGATGGTAATGCCGAGTTATGTTTTATATAATTTACCCATTTTTTACCACTCCTTGTATCGTATGCTTAAAAAGGTTGTTTTCATCTTCAAGAGATTACAAAATAATTTTCTTTAGGATGAGAGATTTGATTAAAAAAATATTCTGAGTTAAATAGGAAATAGTATATGTAAGAATAGCAATAAGACGGGTTGGTATTAATGACTGAAAAAAGTTCAATATAGCCCTCTTAATTAAACAAATAGTAGTGGTGTCTTCTTAATGAAAAGAGGCTCTCTGGCTAGAGTTTTTCAATCAAATACGAGGAGTAGAATTTGGGAGAAAGTGAGGATATTAAGGTTTGGTTTGTAAGAAATATTGTTCATGGTGGTGAGGGGACTTAGGAAGGGTGGAGGATGATTCCATGACTGAAAGAAATTGGTTTTTAAAAAAATATTAGGTAAAAGAAAAGATAATCTTTTAAGGTAGTATTATATAAGGAAAATTAGAAAAAAAAAGTTTGAAAGACTATATAGAATGTCATAACAAACGAAACATACAGCGAATTAGATGAGTAGATTAGTGGGAGAATTGTGGGAGTGACATCCTAAATGAGGAGAAAAGTTTATTTAGTGGGAGAAACTTATTATTTAACCCTTATTGCAAGTGTATAGTTGTATGAAAACTACAAAGAGTATCGATGGATGCATGTAGGTGTCATATTTGAGGCTAATAAGGCACTAGCGTGGAGATCAGTGATCTTGAGGAGGTTAACACCCAAACATAATCTATCAAGAAAATTTTCATACTCCCAGTGATGATGGGTTGTGTTTTGTGTAAAGAGAAAGAATAAATAGTACTAAATCATTTACTTCACATGCAAACATGTGTACCAAATATGCATGGAAGATGGGTTCACATGGTTAGGTGTGTATTTAGTATTACCAAGTGAAGGAAAGCAACATATGCTGTCACATCTTAGTAATATGGATGGGAGTGATTTGGATTGTGTGGAATCGATCGAGGAAGTAGAAAAGAACGGATTTTAAATTTTTTTGGTTCAGTTCACAGTGTAAAAGAGAAGAAAAAATTAAAGAAGTTAAACTTTTTCCTCCTTTTTCTCTCTCTCTCGGGATTTATTGATTTAAAAGGACCGGAATTCACATTTATCGAAGGAGATGCACATTGCCTCTCTTATCTATTCTTGCACTGCTCTAAATCGAGCACCTCAATTAGGCCATAGTTTTACGATTATTTGTAGGCTATGTTTGTGTAGAAATTAAAGGCTGCTACTGTAAATGATTTTATTTTGCTCTTGTGGATCGTTATATGAAATGGTTCTGTTACATTATTTAGCAAACTTTTACTAGTTAGATTAAGATCTATCTGGCCTTTGTGAGCTTTGGTTTGCTAGCTAATGTTCCTATGGATTTTACAGGTGTTTGTTGTAATGATTAGTTTGTCTCACATAATCATTTAATAGATTAACTAATAACAAGGACTAAAACTATTTACTTCAATAAAATCAGAGATTAAATGAAAAATACATAAAAATGAAAATAAAAATGGATAATATTTTAGATAAGAAAAACAATTTTAAGCACTAGATTTCCAAAGGCAAATACTAGAATTAATATAATCAGTCAATGATTATCCACTTACGTGACGGTGACGACCACTTTCTGAAAATTGATGCAATTCTTCCATTTGTAATTTTGAAGAATCATTGCTCATTTGTTGCTTTATTTTTACCCTGTGAATAGGTACTTTTCCTGTTGGACATCCTTTGGTGAAGTTGTGAATTTTAAAAACATTCCCAATATATGATCGTCTATTTTGCATTGCGTCCGTTAGAAAGGTCGAATTAAGCTTGCAAAGAATAACAGAACAAAATTACGTTAACTTTAAATGTATACTTTATGTTCAAAAATATTTTGGTTAAAAAATATTCACCAGTAAAAATAATTTTGACCATCAGAAAATAATGAAATTCATAAGTGATTGAATTATGAAGTTGAGATAACCATAATGTAAGGGAAATATCAGAGTATTATACACCAAAAATAATTGTCATTTTTTAGTCAAGCACTAGACAGCCTTATTATTATATATAGTTT